AGTAGTCAAAGGAATAGAATAATAAAGTAAGGAAGGGTAGTAGTAAGAGTCAGTATACATATAGTTTATAGACAGTACTCTTAAGGGATGAAAGTCCTGAGTTCTGGTACAGAAGAGTGTAGAACCCTCAGAACTGAAGGTACAAGAGTAGAGGATTGTAACAGCCTTCTACTCATCTCTGTCTTAGATCTGAATATTATTATACTCTTATTAAATGTTTAACTTAGTAAAAACTCTAAATGTATGTGTCTTATTAATGAGCTCCTGAATTAGAGGAAGTAGGTACTTGTTTTTAACAGTACTCTTATTAAGACAATAATAATCCTAAACTAGATAGAGCTTCCTATCTTTCTTTTTGACAAAGAAGAAAGGGGAGGCTATAAGGGACTTTAAGGGTTAGATCCAACTGTTCTAAAGATTTTCCTGAAGGAACTTGTCAAGCACCTCCTACTTGTCTTTGTTAAGTAGGTAGACCTTATAATCCTTAAGTTAGAAACTCTTAGTCAATTCAATTGTATAGTCCTAGAGACAGTATTTAGGAAGCTAGTCAAATTCCTCTTTACTAAAGACTTTAGGGAACTCTTAAGTAAAATCTAGTAGACTGAGTCTATGTGTGTTCTAGAGTAGAGTTGTTCTGTAAGGGTTCTAGACTGGTTCTGTCTTAGACATTCTTTAGATCAACTCTATTCTGTCTTGACTAGAATATGTATTCACATATTTATCCTAATTAAAGAAGAATAACTAGTTACTTTTATTAGAACTGTTAGTAACATTGAAAGTATTTACATTTACTTAGAACAGTAGTATAAGGTAGTTACAAGACTTGAGACACTGATCAAAAGTGAGTGTTTACTCTAACTAGTTAATAGTAGGGTTGTAAGCTTTAAGCCATTTGAATCTAATGAAGACATCTGTCTTTCTGAGATTAGTGACTCTAAACTCAATACTTTCCTTATGATCCTAAACAGTCATCTGTAGTTAGACAAACTTGGTAATCCAACCATTCCAGTTTAGAGTTCTGTCTACATTGTATACTAGGATCAGAAGTAGAATGTGTTAAGTAGGGAGGTAGTGTTCCTGTATAAAGGCCTTATTAATACACAAACTAGTACACTTACTGTCTACTAGAGTTATTGTTCAGATCTGAGGGAATCCTAAGAAGGGAGTTAAGAGGATGAGGACCTAGAGTTAGTACTCAGAACATTCTCAAATAAACTACTACTTATTCTGAAGAGAACATACAACTTGTGTAGTCTTATTGTCTGAGAGAGTAAGTATATACACTAACATTTCCTTATTAACCTCTCTCTTTCAACAAGGATGGACCTATGTCCTTAGCTATGAACTCAACTAAGACTATCCCTACTTAATACTATAGACAAACTACTGAGTAGTAAACAGGGCTGGGTAGTGTTCTAAACATTCTGAGATCTTAGAACATAGAAGTAGTAAGTCAGATTGTGTAGATTTAGACTCAGATAAAGTGTGAAGAGAAGAATCAAAAGAATCAGAAGAAATAGGAGAACTATCTACTTTTGTTTTCAGCTTTTTTCTTTCTAATAAATAATTTTATTGTTTTACTTTTTCTACTTTTTCTACTTTTTCTGTTTTTCTTACTTTATTTACTTCTAATCCTACAGTGTCCATTAAATCAAAAGTAGTTGTTAAAAAATCTGAGTCATAGCTCTTTAGTACTACATTCACTATTAGGCCTCTACAAAATTCTAGAGTATATAGTCAGGGTCTAGAAGTTCTAAGGTGACTTCTGAATTTGTAGAAAGAGCTTCTTACTATAAATCCTGTTTGTTACTCATTATTACTCTAATAACTTAACAAATATACTGTTACTTCTGTAGACAGTCCTTAATCTGATACTCTAACTTTCTACAGGCAAAGTATGCTCCTTACTTTTAGGCTTCTCTAATGTCTATTAGAACAGATTGATTGTAAATTATAAGCAGATTAATCTAAGAGCTTAGAACTGTTAGAGCCAAATGTATGTGTAAGTGTTCTACACAGACTTGTTATATTTAAACTGTAGCTTAGTTGAAGGAGATGGTACACATCTTCTACTTAGTGTAAGTAGTTAGTTCTAGTATTATTCTGAGAATCTTATTAACTAGTTCTGAGTGAAGAGCTTTTTCAAGTATTCTAATAAGGACATTATTAAACCTGAGTACAAATCCTACCTTTTAGGCTAGGATATCAAACTCCTGAAAGAAGGTATTAGTAGAATGTTTACTCTGTTACAGAGATACAAGCTTATTCTACATATTGTGCTTCTTATTTAGATTGATGAAAGAAGTACAGAGCTGCCTTATGAATTCCAAATACAACTCATTGTTCTAAAGTCAGATTAGACTTCTAATCTAATAGCCTTTAATCTAGTTCTAGGCTCAGGTGGTTGTGTTACCTTCCTTTATAAAGGAGAGGACAAATAGGATGTGATTAAGATCTGAGGATAGATTGGTTGAAGTAGTAGCTATGTATAGTTTGACTTAGTACTGAAAGTCCTTAAAGTACTACCTATTAAAGTCTAAAGGGTAGGCTATATACACTTTCTTTCTAGAATGGGTTACAACTTCTAGAACAATTAGAACAGGTTCTAAAGAGGCTGAGAGTATGTAGTTAGTAAAAGCCTCTTAGATAGAGGTCTACACATATTAAGCTAGTTCTACTTGTAACTACTAATCTAGTAGGACAGTAAGGGTAGCAGTTAGTGTAGGAGGGTCTATGTTTACACTACAAAGGAATCAGTACTAAACTAAAAGGAGTAATGAATAGAAGAAGGGTGGCAAAAGTTTAAAAGGGGTTTAAGGAGTTTAAAATTTAAAAATGTAGAAGGGTCAGGACAAAGAAAAGAGATCAACACAATAGTGAGTACTAATGCTTAAAACATAGGAGAGTTGTAGGGTAGTAATGAGTAGTCTTAATCTAATGTTAGTGACAGTGTAGAGGGGACCTAAAGGCTCAGTGAGGGGACCCAGGCTACAACTATCTTACACAACAGAAATACAGAATGTAAGCACTAGAATGTAGTCAGAACTTACAGAACAGGCAGAGAGAGAGAGTGAGACAAGAGTAGAGTATATAGAGTGAGCCTAAGAGTACAGGACTACCTAGAGTAGACAAGATCAAGACTACAGGACTAGTCTGATCTTGTACACCTATATATACTAGACTATACAAGAGTACTCAGAGAGTATGAGCCACTAAGAATGATAAACTACAAAGAATGAAAGAGAGGAATGTCAAAGATAAAGGTACAAAGAATGAAGAGGTGGTCAAAGGAATGAGATGATGAAGTAAGGAAGGGTAGTAGTAAGAGTCAGCATGTATATAGTTCATAGACAGTGCCTCTGAGGGACAGAGGTCCTGAGTTCTAGTACAGAAGGGTGTAGAACCCTCAGAACTGAAGGTACAAGAGCAGAGAACTGTAACACCATATTACTATTAGTGTGCCAATTATAGCAACTTTGCCTGATGTCGATCATTTTTCGGCTCCGATCCTGACCACATACAAATTTTGCAAACTATCCATCAATTTACTCCTCACACATGGAGGGAGGACAAAAACCATGATGAGAGTGGGATTCGAACCCACGCCCCCGAAGAGATTAGATCCTTAGTCTAACGCCTTGGACCGCTCGGCCATCTCACCGATGCAAAACATGTATTTGTAGCAATTCTTGAAGTCTACTACAAAGGTTGAAAATTCATAGAAAAGCAAGGCTCACTCACAATATTGCAATCCCATGTTGCCAGAGACACATTTAAAGAACTGACGACGAAATCGAGATAGCAATATATTCCTATTGTACATACACGTTGTGCGAAAGCCTGATAACGATTGAAAGCCCAATTTTCCCCACTATTTCACTCGTGTAATACATCTTGCTTGGATTACAAGATCGCTTCTGAGATTGTGAAATGGACTTGATCGCCTTCTCCAAGGGTGAGGCGAACTGGTAGACGTGGATCAATGCGCACGGGCTAGAGCATAAGATCGACATAAGCATGATGATGTTGATGATAGATGTACTGAGCTTACCCCGCTGTTTCCAACGTAGAAGTCACCACGTTGGAAATTGCGCGTGATGGCCGCAGCTTCTTCCTCAGTCAGCGGGCGTGGCCGCTTAGCCGGACGGAAAGTTGAGGTACTGGCTGAGTAGTCATAGTAATATGGACCAGGTTGAGGGGGGATCTGCCCCATGAATGTCGACGGAGGTGCGACGGGGACGGTGTTAGATGCCTCTAAAACGAGCAATGAGACAGGAGTCGAAATGTATTTTGATGAGGTGCTTACGCTGGGCCGCACTGGCTTCATTTTCTGGGTCGGGATACTGGCAGGTAGCACCCAAGCCACGCTTTAGACAGGACTGATGATAAAATGTATAGGTTACCTGTGATGTATCTGCGAATACTTGAGGACGTACCTGACAAGGCAGGACCTACGTAGGGAGATGACGCCCGAATGAGACTCCGAACGGATGCAAACAGAAACTCAATTTACCTCGCTGCATCGTGTTTTACCCGAATGACAGGCCGTGCAGGCTCTTCGAACTGACAGAACTCGGTCAGAGTCGCGCCTCTGTCCATGCATACAATTCGGAGACTCACTTCGTGGAATCGGAGAGGATCGACGCTGCTTGCTTTTCCCTGTATTACTACCGTCCCCGCCGGGCGTTGCGGGAGGTGGTTGTTGCTGTTGTTGTTGGTCAAGTTGAGGCTGGTACTGACTTGGCTCGAAGGTGGGTTGCTGCTGAGCGCCATCCTGGCTCTGCCCAGGCGCAGCGGCATCGTTGAAGCCCGACATTTTACTTCCGCTGGGATGGCGGCTCGGTTCGCGGGCGGGCGCGACGGTTGAACGGATGGGTCGGATGCTTGTCACGGGCACGCACGGCTGCGTAGGAGAGATTATAAAGGGAGCCGGCATGCCGGACCGGTGTGCAGGCGATAGAAGCACCTACCCTATTCGTCAGTCGGCGGACCGGCGACGGAAGTGCGTTTGTTATGCGGGAACTACGCCTTTTTCTGCCGCTGCGCCTCGTGCCCAGCCAATTCACTTGTTTAGTTGCTCAATCCCGCTCAATCGGCTTGAAGAAGCTGACCTATTTCGGATGACCGGCCAAACTCGGTTCGTCCCTCGGCCTTCCGTCCTCTCCGGCGTCCGGTAATTTCTGTTGCCGTGATACCTGGTGTGCCGTCGTTTGAGATACATCCAATAACGATTCTCAAGATACATCATGTATATTGTACTGATATGAATAACAAAGTTCACTTGTCTAAGGACGCCTTGTAAGCCTTCCAGAGGCTATTGACATCCTGTCCAGTCAATTCCGCGAATACACCCTCATCGTACTCGTGGTCTCGCATTCTACCGTTCAGCCTCCGAACGAAGTCATTACCATTTGTATTCTCAATCTACAAGCAGGATGAGCTATCGGCATCATGCAAAGGAATGGAAAGGAACTTCACCCATTCTAAAAAGTACCCCGTTATCTGGTATCCCTCGTCCCATTTGTTTCCACCCTTCCGCCAATGAGGCGGTGGCAACCCTGCTTTCAGACGGACGTAGTCTATGGCAACATCTTAGCCAAGCGCCTCGTTCAATTGAGTATAATGCGCGCGCACCTGCGATTCCTTCGATGAGACCGCCTGGGCATGTTCCTTTACCGTTGCATTGAAAACAATGGACCATCTCATGCACAAGTACTCCAAACGTTTCGTCATGGGCTCGCTGCTTGTTATTAACGATATGCCGCACACTGAGATGGATCTCCTTGTGGTCTTCATCGAGCTCACTTCCTTTCGTATACGCCACACCGTCCATATCGTCTAGATGGAGAGTGACCGAGCGTACGCTGTTGAATAAGTGACCAATATAGTCAAAGTACGAGTAATGTTCGGACCTCATACGCACTGTCTAGGGCATGTTTGCACTGTGTAGAGCCATTCAAGCACAGTTGTAACAGCGATATTAAGACATTCAGAAGGGTTGATATGTTGGAAGAAAAGTATGGCACCAGGGTGACTTAGGTCTTTCGCTACGAGACGTAACTTGACAGTTGGCCAGGTGGGTTGTCGTGGAAGATAACTTGGCTGGTAAAACGGTGTCTGCCTTGGCCTCTCTTGAAGGCGTTCTAGCCGTTCGTCGTCCTTTTCACGGTTGTTGAGCGGAAAGTTCGGCATGGGTACGCGCATGCTGTGGCGGTGGGATTGAGAGTTATGTTGTCCTTATTCACATCCAGAAACACTCATGATGCACTGGCACTGCTATTGTTAATTGCAAAGCATTTCAAAAGCATATGAAAGCCACAAATTACAGATACAAGTACATATATTATTCTAGATCAGACTGCAAGGTTTGTCCTCCAAAATATAAGAGTATAGTTAATAAGTTATTGCGATTAGCGTTATGAGTCGTTATGTCGGAGGGAGTGCACGCAGTTCACTTTTCATCCAAGTTCCGCCTCCATCTCTCTGGCCAAGAAATCGTCATCAATTTCTTCACCATCTTCTGTTTCTTCATCACCGTCATCGAAACTTCCATTGCTGCCGTTCTCCTGCACCGGCGTTCCCGGGTTGCTAGAATCTACCTCAACAGAGCCGTCATCGCTCCCCTTAGTCGCGAGTTCGTTCACTGACACAGCCGTCTTGAGTTTGGACATGCCGGAGCGGCTCGCGGCAATCTTCTTCCGTTTTGCTAGGGGCGACCGTAGCTCTTCGGATATTTGACCGCGCTCGGATGGTGTGATGCTTCGTAATCGTTTGCGTTCTTGTCGAGTCGTAACAGTGAGACTGCACAATCAAAAGAAACATAAAATTAGTACGGATCCGTGCAATCACCTCAGTTACTTACCTAGTTCCGCCAACTTCTTCATCCGCAGCGGATTCATCCTCAGATACATTGCTACTCCGAATGCTTCCCGTACTTCGCACATCATCATCGTCATCATCTCCCATTTCGCTATCACTCTCCATCATCGCCGCGTCAACCTCGTCATTGGCGTTCTGCCAATCTACCTCGTTGAGATTTAAAGGGCCCTCCGTGTCCAGGTCCGTCACTCCTGCTGATTCTCCAGTAGGAGCCACCAGTGACTCACTGTTAGGGACCGCTTCAACTGCTTCATCTAGTAAATCTTCCAACAAGTCCTCTTCGTCACCGTCACCTACTAGACCTTCGGGATCGGTGTCCGTCGAAATCGCATTTGGATCCGAAGGCGGGCTCGATGATGCGACATCTTGTTGCGTCGAGTCATCCTGGGTAGCGTCTAGAAGGTATCGCCGTTCGTCTTGTCGTCTCCATTGCGCAACGGAATCCGTAAACCATTGCAGCCAGACAACAAATATATTAGGTTGGGACCTAGCCTTCTCAACCTTCTGAGTTCCTCTCTGTCCAAATTAATTACTAAGTGATTTATGGAAAAGACCAATTACGGACCTTAGATGTTACGACGTGCGTGACTTCTTTGTCCAAGTCTCTATGGCATGTAGCCCCAAACGCCCTAGCCATTCTCCAGATTTCCGTTGCCTCGTGATCCATTCGTATATTCGTAGGAATAACACCAGAAAATAGTATATGCACGTCTTTAAACGTTTCCTTTCGTATATTTGGAATTATAAACTAAATGATAGGTCAGTACATTGCGCGATCTATCAGCATTTGTCCAGATGCAAACCTTCACATCATAAGGGACTTCTAGTCGTGCGACTGACCGTCGCCTCTTGCTAGTATTATTCTCTGGTAACCGATTGTCGTATGCACCGAAAAATCGTGTATGTACTTCATCAAGGAGCTGATTGAATAAGTTTGTTAGAAAATAAATGGTAGCATCAGCTTGCAACCTAAAAGCATACCTGCCTGACACGCATAAGCTCCGTGTCGTCGTTCTTGAGTAGCGCCTTTCTATGGTGTTTGGATTTTGGATGCTCGGTCTGTACAACTGTCTCGCCATTCGATGACCGATGTTCGGATTCTTTTGCGTCATCAGGCTTTTCTGTGTCATCATCACTTTCTAGCTGTTCTTGTTTCTTCGCCAATGGTCGCTCCTCCACCTGCGCCTCCAGAGCAAGAGTGTTTTGTGTGATCATTTCGGTCTTCTTAGCAGACTGCTGATCTCCTGGAAGTTCATCGGCGGTGTCCTCGGAAACAGGTTCCGATCCGGTGGTCGAAGGTGGAGTAGGGGACGACGGGACAGGTATGGGAGGCGTAAGTTGGGCAGGAGCATCAGATGATTCTGTAGGTGTCTCTGGGCCGTCTTGTGAAACATTACCAGTTCCCATGGCATCAAGTTTAGGCAAGAATGTTGAGTTGATATCTCCTATTCCAATGAAGAAATCGTCTACAGCAAGGAGATTGTCAATAAATGGTCAATTGGCTCCGTGGAATGCACTAACATGGTATAACCTTAATCAAGTTCGGGGACCATTCCCAGACATCGGCTCGGTCATCGATAATTACCACCATTGATGTATCGCAAGGGAAAAGACGGCGCAGGCTTTTCTGCGTTAAACCTTGAAGACTGTATGTAAGCAACTGTTCAAAGTAGAATCTACAATCCACGCACTGCCGCTCTCATCACGACTCAATATTCGACCTCCGAACAATCGCCCATCAGGATCGATCGCTGCACAAACCTTCTCGGCGTACGCCCGCGTTCCCATCGTGTAAACATGCATCTCATATCTGGAAGCCACAGACGAAAGAAATTCTTTCCAACCAGGTCTAGACAAAAAAAAGGCTTAGAACTTTTAGTCGTGTGTGACCTTGAGACGGACTCACCGAGGTTTGACATAGTATAAACAGCCTTCATTCTGGATACCCTTGTCAACATGCTTGTCTTTCCAGCGAGATTTAGGAGCACAAAAGTTGTCTGGGGGAAGGCGGAACTTCTTGACATCCTTCAATGCCTCCCAGTTCGGATTGACCTCATCCTCATCCGAATCGTCCTCCTCGCTATCTTCGCTGTCCTCGCTACCATCCTCCTTTTCTCCCTCAGCAGCTTGTTTCCTCTTCGCTTCTCGACGAGCATGCCTCCCCTCCCAAGCCTCACCTTCTGTTATCCAATCTCCCACAGTCGGGTCGACTGTCGCGTGGACGATAGTTTGGTCAAGGTCAACGATTAGGGAGAGTTTTCGGGACTTCAGAAGATGCTCTGCAGTTTCCCGCTCTAATCGTTGTGCCTCTTCGAGTGAGACTGTGGGCCCAGAGGCAGAATGCGTCATTTGAATTGTAGCTCGTGAAGACTCAGCACGACCGGTATAGTCGAAGCTGTAAACAAACCTATGTAAAAGCACTGCAGCACAGTAGCACAGCTCCACTCACTGATCCATGTTTATTCCGCATAGCGCACAGAGACCGTTGAACTGAATGCCGTGCTTGCATGGCTCCAGTATTCGGAGAGCCGGTTTGGACCTGGCGCGTTCGCGGGTGATTGTCTCTCCGAGCTTGACATTCCATGCCTTGAGTTCCCCTTCGAAGGTTGCGTCCCATGAGCCGAAGCGTGTCTCCGGCGGACCCGAGGCACCGGCGGGGTGATGTACGAACGCGTAGTTGAGAATCTTCTGACCATGCTTCACTGGATCTGTGACGCGTGGAAGGAGAGCATGAACGATAAACGGGAAGGGAAGGATGTCCGGGAAGAATATCTCTGTTTCGGAAGACATGCCTCTGGCATCCACGAGGCGCAGCAAAATTGGTGGTAATAAGGAAATAAGGCAGGTTGGAAGCAAAGCTCTGCGTCTGAACACAAGACCTTCACACCAAGCACGGACTCTGTAACGGGCAGTACTTTCCCAGGGTAAGGCAAATACTATCAGTATCATTAGATTCCGGACGGACAACACTTTTTCCTTTTCTGATCTGATGAATGGACTTCAGGAAAGTACTGTATGTTTCTGTCAGACTTTTACTGCACGATTATTGAATAGCATGGATTACAGCATAGAATATTCAGGTGGCCACATGACATTCAGAAAGGCATGGAAAATAAATGTAGCAGGAGCGTTAGATAGAAAGAAAAGGCGGTGATATGAAGAGAAGATAGTATAATGTTACAAGTCTTCAGGGTAAGGGGGTAAATTGCCGGAACCAGGTGCTAAACCGCCCGGCTCCGCACGTTGTGTATCTATCCGCTGTGCGACTAGTTCGAGTATTCGGTCCACTAAGGCAGGATCATCGGATATCATGTAAGAAGCGTTCTCTGGAGCTGGCAGCGGACCTCTGGACAAACGTGAATTATTCTGTGGCTCGGCACCCTCATTTCGTGAAGCACCTAGTTCACTGGGCAGGTACGTCACCGGAACAGACAGTGCGGACCGGTGATCAGCAGATGCTGTAAATTCGGTTCCTCTAATACTCTCCGGTACACTTGAGGTAACAGGAAGAGGTAGACCCTTCTCATCCCGTACACGATCCATTCCACGGAGATGTCCCGTAAGACGCAAGTCCAGAGATGATGAGTCTGAAGAAGGACCGATATCGCGTTTCGGAGCCCTCATGTCAATGACATAAGGAGTGACCGCATCGCCCTCCTGCTCGTTGTGCTCCCGACGGAATCTCCGTGGTAAAAATATGGAAGATGCTACTGATGAGCGTCTCTCCAGCCCGTTTGATCTGCGTTTTGCACGGCGTTTTGACCAGATATAAAAGCCGATCATACTGGCAACAACGAGAAATGCTATGATCGGTCCTACTATTATTCCTGCCTTTGAAGCACTGTGGCTAATCCGCAAATGTCAGATTCTGTGGTTGAGAATGTAGAAAGATTATAACTCACGCCCTGTTCGTGCTTGTGAGGGTATTGTTGAAATGCGTAATTTGCACAGAGTTCAAGGAAAGCGCATTGGTTCCGACATTCGTAATACTGAGTGAATGTGTGGTATTCTCCTCTAAGCCATCTTGATAGAATAGCAACATATTTCCTAGTAGCCATTGCGAACTTCCATTGAAAAGATGCTTCGTGCCGTCTAAATTCTGCTAAAACATTAGCGGATTGTTATTGACTAAAGTTGAGCAGAACGTACGACAGAGTATAAACCATGGTTTGTGGTAGATGAGCCATACAAAGCCACAGCTCTCCCCGTGAAATTAAAGGAGGCAGATGCACCGGAAGCTGTGGTACTGTGAAATGGAGCTGGTGATGCGGAAGAGGGTATATCGGCGACTGTTTTGGACGGCGTCCAATCACCAGCATATGCAATTGCACTCGTGTTTTGATTGTCGATAGTCTCGTAGACAGGTGTAGAAGAACTGTAACCCGTTAATTATATTTCAGTTACTTTATACACTGTTTTTGGCGGTGCAAAAAGTACATACGCGCTAGAATTTGCAGCTGAATTGACGATCGCATTATTAAAGCTGAGTATCTGGTCACCACTATCGGGTTTCGCAGTCAAGGATACATTGTAGAATCCGGGAGCCTTATCCGATACGGAGAAGAGAACGTTTTGGAAAGACGTTGCATTTTGAATAAAGCTTCCATCGAAAAATACGTCGTATGAACTATTTGTTGTTCCGTATAAAGCTACCCCAGTGCCTGCAATATATATAATGAGATAAAAGTTATGCATATAAACAGGATATCGGAAGCATACCATAAAAAGACAGAGATACAGATGCTCCCGGTGCGGAAGTCAAGTGAAAAGATTCACCAACTGGGGAAGGGGCATCTCGATTGGGAAGAAAACCCGAGCCCGAATACCAGGTTTGCCAGCCGTTATGAAGGCCATCACCTTGACCGCTTGCACTTGCAACATCGGCTACAAGACAATCAGGAAGGATGGGTTACAAGATAATTGCGTTGATGGAAGTGATCGACATACCATACGGTGAGTAGAAGAGTATGGGACTGGTGTCGTCTATCGTGAAATTGTACCGTACCAGGCCAGCCATGGTGGTAGACGACGAGGGTGTGCGCGATACGGACGCTTTCTTTCTCTGAGGGCATCACGTTGATTGATGGATTGTGTTTGAAATACAAGCTCGTTCTAGGACAATGATATGTTTGAAGGAGGCGCCTAAATCCGGCTAAGCACCGCAGGGACGATCGGCTGCACTCTTTGGGTAAGAGACTGAACCAGATTCCGATGAAACGTCTCTCGGTATTTTGCATCCGCCTACGAGTGAATGGAGAAAATCACCGGCGACCAAAGATGCTGTAGTACCAAGAATTATGACCGTTTGTGGTAGCTTTATGAACCTGTGTACGCACTCTACACCGCATAGGAACCTGTTCTTTTCAGTGGAAGAAGAACGAAAATCCCCCAAAGGACCAAATATATAGCAAAAAACATGGATTGAAACTGAAAGTGAAGTGTTCATGGTCCGCTGTAACAGGATGTCGTAACTTTGGACGTCACAATCAGATGGACACAGCCGATCTGGCGCTTCATTCAGTTTGCCATGAACTGTATAAATGGGAGCAGACTCGAGTATCACAGCTTGGTGTGAAAACAAATGTAGATGGAGCATATCACGGAGAAGTCAATTGAATATAAGTAAAAGCTCCGACGTTCTTGATTTCTTATGATGCTGTTGAGACGACTTGTAGGCGCCTCGCCCAAAAATGTTGGGCAAATTTGCACTTCAAGATCAGAATTATCAGAATTATGTACTTGATGAGTTTGAAAGTATGCACAATACGTAAGTACATTGGAATTAGGATATAGCACCTTGGTAAGTTCAGAGCCTTATAGACGCTCTATTCAGCTTGGCATAGACGAAACGTGTCTCCAGTCGACCCGAGGGATTGGCGGGTGAGGTACGAAAGCGCAGCTGGGAATCTTCAGAAATAAGGACACGTTGGAAGGGAACCCGTTACTTTGCTCTACCACTAGATACTAAAGATTCATAATGAGTATGTATTCTGCCAAAGGTTCAGGCCAGCATCGGACAACACTTCCCCATTTCCGAAGAATGGATCAGAGGAATATACTGTTTGATACTGTATTTTGCACTGCACAATTGTTAAGCACAACGAATCACAGGTTAGAATATTAAGAAACTACGTGACAGTCAGAAAGGCGTGGAAGACAAGTGTGGAAAAAAACATTAGACAGAAGAGACAATTGTAATGCAGACAGAATAGTGCTACACGCCTTCACTGTAAGGGGGCAATTGGTTAGAAGAATCAGGTGCTGAGCCGCTCCCCTCCACCCGTTGTGCATCTATCCGCTGTGCGACTAGCTCGACTATTCGGCCCACTACGGAAGGATCGTCGGATATATTGTGAGAGACGCTCTCCGAAGCTGCCGGCGAACGTCTGAGCGAACGAGAATTGATATGTGATCCAGCACCCTCGCTCCGTGAAGCACGCAGTTCACTGGGCAGGTATGTCACCGGAACGGACTGTGCAGATCGGGCATCAGCAGATGCTGACGAGTCAGTACCTCTGATATTCTGTGGTACACCTGCAGGAATAGGAAGGGGTCGACCTTTCCTGTCCTTTGCACGGCCTATTCCATGGTGATGTCCCGTAAGACGTAATTGCAGCGACGATGACTCTGAAGAAGCACCAATATCGCGTCTCGGATCTCTAACGTCAGCAACGTATGGAGTAATCGAGTCGTCGTGCTCGTCGTGCTCGTGACAGAACCTCCGTGGTGAAAAGATGAAAGATGCAGCTGATGAGCGTCTCCTCATTGGCTTGCGCTTTGTTTGACGTTTCGACCGAACGTAAAAGCCGATCATACTAGCGACCACGAAAAAGGCTACGACTGGTCCTACAATTACCCCTACTTTTGACTTTGAAGTGCTGTGGCTGTTGCGCAAATGTCAGATTTAGTAACCGAAAATGTAGGAAGGAGAAGAACTCACGTCCCTCCCGTATTTGCCTGCCCTGCAAGGGTATCGTTTAAGTGCGTAATTTGTACAGAGTTTAAGGAAAGCGCATTGGAAGTGGGGTCGCTACCAACATTCATAATACTGAGTGAATGCGTGGAATCCTCTTCTAAGCCATCTTGATAGAACAGCAACATATTTCCTAGCAGCCATTGTGAGCTTCCATTGAAAAGGCTCTTCGTGCCGTCTAAAGTCTACCAAAGCATTTACGGACCATTATAGATTAAATCAAGGAATACGTACGACAGTGTATGGACCATGGTTTGAGGTAGAGGAGCCGTATAAGGCCACAGCTCTTCCCGTGAAATTAAAGGAGGCAGATGCGCTAGCCACTGTCGTATCGTGATATGGAGCTGGCGAAGCAGTAGTGGGTACTTTGGGGACCGTTACGGTCGGCGACCAGTCACCTGCATATGCAATCGCACTCGTGTTCTGATTGTCGATAGTCTCGTAGACTGGTGTAGAAGACCTGTAACCCGTTTGTCATATTTTAGTTACTTGATACGCCTTTCTGCTGTGTCAAGTAAAAAAAGGACATACGCGCTAGAATTTGCGACTGACATGATGACAGTACTATTAAAGCTGAGTATCTGATCATTACTATTGGGTTTTGCAATCAAGGATACCTTGTGGAACCCGGGTGCTTCGTCTGAAGCGGCAAATAAAACGTTTTGGAAAGGCGTTGCATCCTGAATAAAGTTCCCATCGAAAATTATGTCGTATGAGCAGTTTGACATTCCGTACAAAACTACCCCAGTGCCTGCAATGTATATAATGAGATAAACTCTCTGCATGTAAACGACTTATCGGAGGCATACCATAGAAAGACAGAGATACAGAAGCTCCTGGTGCAGAAGTCAAGTGATAAGACTCGCCTTCTGTGGAAGGTCCATCTCGATTGGGAAGAAACCCCGAGACTGTATACCAGGTTTGCCAGGCGTTGCGGAGGCCATCACCTCGGCCAATTACACCTCCAGTATCGGCTACCGGGCGACCAGGAAAGATGATTACAAGATATTTGCGTTGATGGAGGTGAGCAACATACCATATGGCGAGTAAAAGAGGATAGGACTGGTGTCATCTATTGTGAAATTGTACTGCACCAGGCCAGACATGGTGGTAGACGACAAAGAGGAGTGCGATACGCAATCTTCTTTTTCTCTGAGGGCATTACGTTGATTGATAGATTGTGTTTGAAATGAAAGCTCGTTCTGGGGTGATGTTGAGTTTGAGAGAATCGCCCAAATTTGGACAGGTACCACGTAGACGAGCGGCTGCACCTCTGTGAACAAGTGGCTGAATCGAATTCCAATGATCCCTGGCAACTCGTTCCTGCCCGGGACTCAGCGAGAGTGAATGGAGACGATCACCGGCGATCAAGGGCTCTGGGATACCAAGAATTACGACCTTTGTGGTAACTTTATTAACCTGTGCACACTCTGTACTGCATATGAACCCGCTCTATCAAGTGAACGAGGGAAGGGCGGAGGTTCTCCAGAGCCGAATAAGTTTAATGGAAAATATCATTTGAGGTCGACGTATCTATGGTCCGCTGTAGGAAAGTGCTGGGGCTCGGGACGTCACAATCGAGCGGATCCAACTGATTAGACGCTTTGTTCAGTTTGATATGGTCTGCATAGATGGAAGCAGGCTCGAGTGGCATAGCCTAGCGTGAAAACAAATGTAGATGAAGCACACATCACGGAGAGGTCAATTGAAGAAGAAATCTCCAATGTTCCTGGATTCTTAGAATGCTGATGAGACGACACAGGAGTCAGTAAGCGCTTCATTCATGAATATTGAGCAAATTTCCACTCCATGTCCAAAATTACGTGGAAGATATCGGAAGTAGGTATCATGCGTGAGTACATTCGCATCAGGATATAAATCCTCGACTCCTCGGGTAAGTCCAGAGCCTTGCAGACGCTCTATTCAGTTTAGCATAGAGTCGTACGGTATAGATACTAAGATAGCAACGCAGAGTGGAACGTGAATAGCATAGCCGCGTCAAGAAAGAAATATAAGCGGAGGCTATTACGCAGACGGGTAGATCTGAGCAAATTTACAGAGTTTCCGGCTTCTTGACTTTCTGATGAGACAACAGAGTGAGCGCCTCGCTCATGGACTGCCAACACAACCCAAAGCAAACGTCTCTGTTTCGAAGATCAAAAGCACGTGACTGAACTAATGCGAGAAATTGAAATTAGACGCTATTGCTTGACCGAAACGCTACAATGAATGATCATCAAGACGTTCAGCAACAGGCAATCCAGGCAATTCTAGGACCACCAGACCCCAAAGTCGCGCAGAGCATCTTATCTAAACTATGTCTAGACAAGCTGCCCAGTCCTGAACAAGTCTACAAAGAGATTGAAGACAAGATTTTGCTCCCAAAGACAAGTCTACCGGAGCACTGGCTTCCGTCGTATCAAATGTGAGAAATTTAAGATCAGCATGCATACAATCGTCGTTGAAATGCAGATGCAGTCATTGGGAGCATCATCTTGAAGTTCCGACTCTGCTTGTGACCGAACCTTCGCCATCTCCGTCGACTTTGTCGTTCGTCCGCACCGGATTAGAGGGACGTGTGACTGGTTGCGTAGAGGTGTGTCTTTCAATACCAATATAACTGCATTGCATCCGGGGATTCATGAGTCGCAGGTACCAGTGTCAAAACAGGGCACTGGACTCAGCTCTACGTCTCTTGATCGTGCACCTGCGCCATTGCAAAGCTTTGTACGCGGGAAATCCGGCCACGTACCATTTTGGCCAGGAGGGCTCGATGAGGCTCTACTAGCAGAGAACGAAATTGAACTAGCTCCGAAGGGGCTCCGGACTGTACCGCCTGGTTTCAGCAGAGGTCTCCGTGATGGTACTCAAGATGTTGAAGGAGATATGATTGCTCTAGATGTTGGCGCACGTACTTCAGATAAGGCGACTGAAGTGAGTCTCGTGGCATACTGTACTCCGCATTCTCAATCCTTATGACAATCTGCTATAGCTTCATGATGAATCAGCAAATACTCCTCAAGAAGGAGGAAACGGCGAAGTATCGCACGACCCTTCGGAAATAGACGATTTACTTCCAACATCCGTATGTAACGTGCTATATTGTCTTGTGCGAGCTCTGAACGTAATCATCATAGCGTTCACAACTGAGGCCGGTTGTCCCGGCTTCAAAGCCGCTACGGCGGACGGCCGTCCAAAAACGAGAATGGGCACATGTTGTCGACGTAAGAAAACCTATGACGAATTTCCGCGAGCTAGTACCCGAAATGGCTCGCAAGGTACGATTGAAGTTTGGTTTTGTACGTAGACATTAGCGAGCTTAGCTGTCGAAACCAGTATCCTTTCGAGTTAGATACGTTTCAGAAGGAAGCCGTGTACCACCTGGAGATGGGTGATTCGGTTTTCGTTGCTGCTCACACTTCTGCTGGTAAAACGGTAGTAGCGGAATATGCCATCGCTTTAGCCGCTAAACATATGACAAGGTCAGTATCATCTATGTTTAACCAGTTATTACTCGTTGAAAATGCAATGTTACAGAGCCATCTATACCTCTCCTATCAAAGCGCTCTCAAACCAGAAATTCCGCGATTTCAAACAGACATTCTCCTCTTCTTCTGTGGGTATTCTTACGGGCGATGTACAGATCAATCCAGAGGCGAACTGCCTGATCATGACGACTGAAATTCTGCGAAGCATGTTGTACAAAGGCGCCGACCTCATAAGGGATGTCGAGTTCGTAATATTCGATGAGGTACACTATGTGAATGATGCAGAGGTATGATTGAAGTTCCTTGTATCAAGTAAATGTAGCTTATCCTCATTCTTAGCGAGGCGTTGTTTGGGAAGAAGTCATAATTATGCTCCCTGAACACGTCAGTATAATCCTGCTATCTGCTACAGTGCCAAATACGAAGGAGTTTGCAGACTGGGTTGGGTGAGCACTTTTTTCCATTAAGGTGACGGCTGATCCTGACCCGAACATATAGGCGGACGAAGAAGAAGGATATTTATGTTATCTCCACTCCATCTCGTCCAGTTCCCCTTGAACACTACTTATATGCGGGTCGGGATATACATAAGATTGTCGATTCCAAAGGCCAGTTCCTATCGACTGGGTTCGTTTTATTTATCTATGATATAAATACGGTCTGATGCGATTAACTTCTTCAGCTACAAAGATGCTGGTGAGGCGTTGCGTAGAAAACAGGACAAAGAACGAGAGGCAGCAGGTTTACCTCCTGTGCAGCGCCTGGGTGCTCGTGCAGCTGCTCCGCAGCGTGGCCAACGTGGAGTGACTCGCGGTCGTGGCGGTGGAGCTCGAGGAGGGGGTGGAGCGCCAGGTGGACCACGGACGTTCCATCAACCAGACAAGAATCTCTACGTACATCTCGTCGGTTTCCTTCGGAAATCCAATTTACTACCGGTCGTTGTTTTCACCTTTTCAAAACGGCGATGCGAAGAAAATGCGGCAACACTGACTAACGTCGACCTTTCTTCAGCGAGCGAAAGGAGTGAGGTGCATGTCACGATCGAAAAAGCCCTGGCGCGATTGAAAGGCAGGCAGACATTTATCTTATGCTGTGGACACTTCTGCAATTTCCTATAGGCACGGACAAGAAGTTACCGCAAATAGGCAGAATGAGGGACCTTCTTTCTCGGGGAATTGGCGTCCATCATGGTGGATTACTTCCTATTGTCAAAGAGGTATTTATTACTCTTGACACAGGAAAACTCAACTAACGTGTTCAAAGGTCGTCGAAATTCTATTCGCTCGTGGACTTGTCAAAGTTCTCTTTGCAACAGAGACCTTTGCTATGGTAGGAGTCCTGTGTATTGACTGCGTTCTGTTATAACTTTGAAGTCTTTTCTCAGGGAGTCAATATGCCTGCGAAGTGCGTTGTTTTCTCTGGAATACGAAAACACGATGGGAAAAGCTTCCGGACCCTTGAGGCGGGAGAGTATACCCAAATGGCTGGCCGAGCTGGTCGTCGGGGTCTCGACACGACTGGGACGGTCATCATCACAGCCAGTGATGAAGTGCCTGAAGTATGTGCTCGAATACGCTCTTCTTGTAATGAAACAAAAGCTGACTTCTGCTTTAGATCACAACGCTCCAAACTATGATGTTAGGAACTCCAATGCGACTTCAGTCCCAATTTCGGTTGACGTACAATATGATTCTGAATCTACTCCGCGTGGAGGCATTGAAAGTAGAGGAGATGATCAAGCGAAGTTTTTCTGAGAATGCGTCGCAGAAGCTCCTACCTGACCAGCAGCGAAAGGTCATTGAAGTAAGTTCATCTTCACGTCTTGCTTGGCGAATTGTCATGTTAACGTGCATGATACACGTAGAATGAGAAATTACTCTCAACGATGCCGAAGTTGGACTGCGAAGTATGCCTTCCAGACATTAGAGCATACTACAACACGTCCGCGCAGGTTGTCGATCTTAACGCTACGCTGTTGAGTTTGGCTGCCGCGAGCCCTCAAGGGAGCAGGACTTTCGGACAAGGAAGAATCGTGATTCTGCGCGACGATGTGAGCGTCATAGTTTTGGATGTGGCTTCGTCTGATTGCTTTTCAGCATTTCCGAAACAATGCAGCTGTCATTGTAAAAGCCGGCCCTGCACAAGACAAAATGAAGACGTTCTTCATCCTAGCACTCAGTAACAAAGAGACTAAGGCTAAGAAAATAAGTATGTTTGAGTTCCGATGGATTTCGTCACTATTCCCATCTTATACCTCTTTCTCCTCCAGACCCCGAGGCTCAACCAGTGCCTCCCATCTGGCCTCCACAAGTGGATTCCGTCGTGAATGAAGACTTTGTTTATGAGTATGCAGTGGTACCAATAACGAGTATCGCGTTGGTGACCAGCAGGACTTTGAAGGTATGTCCTGAATCTACGATGAATTAGTAATGTCATTGAGCTATTTCAAGGCCGACTTTGACCAAATTGAGCGTGCCAAGATAACACCGATGAACAATGCAGTTGCAGCCATGAACGAAATAGCTAAGGAGTGGGTCGCTGCTGGCTCCATTCCTGAAACGGATTGGAATCGCGTACGGGCGCTTGAGTTCCAAGAAGCGCTTCGAACACGGAACGAGCTGACGCAGAAGCTGGCAAGTAAGGCTTGTCTCTTGTGTGAAAGCTTCAAGGACCATGTACGTTGATATGATACTGTTAAGCGAGACACTGATGTCCATCTTATTCTTATACCCAGTACGCTATTTTGCATGGTGAAATGACTTTACGAGCGAATATCGATAATCTCAAATTGGCGATTTCCGACCAGAATCTAGAACTCATTCCAGATTACGAACAGCGAATTGCTGTACTGCAGGAGCTTAAATTTATCGACGCAAACTCGACAGTGCTTCTAAAGGGCCGGGTGGCCTGTGAGGTACGACAGCTTACACATTATCGATTTAAAGCTGCAGACACTTAATAATTATCGGACAGATCAACTCTGCTGATGAGCTTATACTGACGGAAGTTATTCTGGAGAACATGCTCGCGACCTACGAGCCTGAAGAAGTCGTTGCTTTGCTGTCATGCTTTGTGTTCCAGGAGAAAACGGATGTGAAACCCGCGGTTACGCCACGACTTGAGGAAGGGCGTGCTGCGATATTAGGGGTTGCAGAGCGTGTTGGAGCTGTGGAGGACCGTAATAAGGTGGCTTCTCCGGATTCAGAGTCGCGTCTCAAGTTTGGACTTGTTGAGGTAGTGTATGAGTGGGCGAAAGGGATGGTAAGTCTTTCTAATTTTCGGACCCCGTTGTTGAAAATTCCTCGTAAAGTATTTTGAAAACTAACTGTTTAATACTCGTAAACTATAGCCGTTCGAACAGATTATGCTTCTCACTGACGTTGCAGAGGGAACAATAGTTCGCGTAATAACCCGTCTAGACGAGACATGTCGAGAAGTTAGAGATGCAGCGCGCGTTATCGGCGATGCATCATTGATGAAGAAGATGGAGGAGGCGCAAGTACGGATCAAGCGCGATAGTGAGTTTCTTCCTTTCTTCTACATTCTTCATTTCCTTCGTTCCCTCTTCTGGTTGCCTTTGGAGCGGTATCTTCGTTTCTTTTCGGATTTAAGGCGAATTTTTACTTTTTTTTCGTCTGCGTTCTTCGGACTTGGCGTTGGAGCATCAGCATAAAAATCCACGCAAATTTTTTTCTTTCACTCCAACTCGACTTTTCTCATCCTTCGTCCCTTTGCTTGACCCTTCGATCGACCCTCGCGTGTTGTTCATGTGCTGATTATCGATCTTTTCCCCCGCATTTTCTCCACACAGTCGTCTTTGCAGCAAGTTTGTATTTCTAGCAGCACAAATGCTCGTTAAACATAAAACAAAGTGCAGTCATCAGCATGTATTATTAGGCTATAGACTTCATCAGAGGCGCTAGATGTCATGATTCATCGCGTCGCATCATGTGTTTCAGTGTTTCAGAGTAGTTGCCGGATGGGATGAGATTCACAAGAGAGATGGCTTGCTACGCTGAGTTGTCCCGATCAAGATGGGATTGATCGGCTATTGAGATTCTGTTGAGATCGAGATGGCACACTTCGCCTGCTGTGCCCAAGCACCCTGATTCGCTGTCGCGGAATCGTTTTATTTGTGGAGTACGGCGGGGTCGATAGGCCAGGGCCGGGCGGGAGTAAAAAACAAACAAATAAGAATTTTTGGTTGACAGCTTTCCATTTGAGAACGCTTTGGTATGTAAATCGGAGACGGATTTGGGAATATTGCAAGATAGAGTCTTGCTCGCGTGCCTAGTCAATGGAGAAAATTTTCTTACTTTAGTACGATATGTTGGAAGGGAAGGAGAAAGCTGTTTTGGTGACGTGGAGAGCGCTTTTTCCGGAAATGAAATAACCGAAATAAATTGTGGTAGAATATTAGTGAGCTGCGAAATTTGGGCGAGGATATCGCTGTTCGATCTATTCATCCAGGCGCCGTATCGTCGAAAGAACAAGCTGTTTGCGGTCGTGTGATAGATTGAGAGAAGAGACAAAGTAGGAAAGAAGAGGAGATTGAGGATGGATTCTAGCTTGGACCTTAGCCAACATAAAGTCATAGATGACGCCCAACATATTCGTATCTCGGCAAGCGCCAGAGGAGAGCGCAGCTTGTACAGTATAGCCGGATTGATTCTATGAAAGTGAAGTCAGCGGCGAGCGGTGGCTTACGAGGCCGCGAGGCTGGTGTATAGGGGCTGCTGCTGCACCGGGCGATTGTCCTTCATGAGCTGATGGCTATATACGTCGAGCAGAGAAGACACGCAGCGGGGTGACAGGCAGGGGTTATGAAATAATAGAAAGCGATATCGCGGCCTCGAGGCGGCCAGCGAGGTATGAGCTCAATGGATCCAAGGAAGCATCGATGAACGGCAGTCGCTGGGAAACATCAGCCATTAGAGAGCGCCGTGCTCTGGTTGGCCGATAACAGCGCTGTCGCCGCCAAAGGTGTTCAGACTACCTACTCACAACACAAGCGAGTTGTTATATACATCTACCCGCCGCCTGCGTCGACGACGTAGACTGGCAGGGTCGCAGCAGGTTTACTACTGAGTACGGAGTGTGCGAGAAAATAGGCATTTGGTTATTGGGCAGATAAAGGAAATAATATTACGCGAGATGTGGACGCATGTTTCTGGCCCTTATCTGAAAGCGCTGAAAGGAAAGCCTTAGCCACCTCTACACCCGAATATCTACAATTGGCCATTCCGGCCCTCCATTTGCCCTTCCTCCTCTTCACCCCTCCCTTCTCCCTCCACATCTCTCTCCCCCGTCCCTCACCATGCTCTCCGTCCACCGTTACAATCAACAGCCCTTTATTTTAATGCCGACGTCCTCGCGACCGTCCACGCCGCGTCGCCACCAACACGTCGTCGTCGAACGAGGTCGCTCAAGAAACGTATCTCAAGCCGCACTCGCTCGCAGGAAATCAGAGGAACGGCGCAAGCGTGCTGCTCTGGCAGAACAGATGGCAAGTAATGCTCGTCCGATCTTTTCGCGCGCCACGTCGCCGCCGTCCTCGAGGTCGCGTGCCCAATCAATACATAAGAGCGTGTCTGCGTCAGGCGAGGAAACGGGTCCTGTAGCTTCTACCAGCGCCAGTCGCTTACCTTCACCCCCAACGCCAACGCAAAGAGTCGAACGGTCTGATTACATGGCAGCCCCTGCCGCGAAGCCCTCTGACTCACGCTCGCATCACCGTGTCAGCAGCGAACCTTATACCAATCCCGATTCCGACGCTTCTTCACCTATCGGCGAGGATGAAGATTCATCCGCATGCATGGAGGAGAAGCTAAGCTTACAGGACCAAATGCAACAAGCCTATGCCGCTTGTCAGACTAGTTGTCTCCCCACTCTCGGACGAAATAATTGCCGATGCCGGAACATGCATCGTGCACGCGTACTTTATCTCAAGACGCAAGGCATCGACGTAACATCCGACGATGACCCGCGTATTGGACAAGTACGCGATGAGGATTTTGTTTTCGTACCGGGTGGCAAACTTGTATTCGATGAAGAGTCACTCGCAGCGCTGAAGGAGGAGCGTGAACGTCGAGAGAAGGAAATTAGGGAGAGGCAGTGTCGTGTGCGTTGCCAGGCAGTGGAAGCTGAGGCTCAGTGTAGTCGGACAAGTACAATGTCCACACGGCGATGCACTGAAGAACTAAGGACAGCATCGCAGTCGTCACAAAGATTGGAGATTAGACCGAGACGAGACCGACTACCTCAGTCGAGTAAGGCAGGACTTTCACGACAGGTGCGTAAGATTCGGAAACATAATGAAATACATATATAACTCAAGTCATGACTCACCAGTACAATGATTCAACACCATATACATCTTCATCACCTTCATTAAGAGTTGGACCTATTTCAGCGGCCCAGACCAATAATCAGATAGAGTTTGAGCGGACCGCGCCCTCCCGGGTGACGGCTCGTGAAGTCGTTAGAAGCCTTCATGGCAATCTCTTTCCAGATTGTGAGCCGAGGAGGACACGCTCTGCAGCGCAGAGCCGACTTCTGGATACATTACTGGAGGCCATAGTATGGCAAGATGGAGAACGGAGACGAATGAACGGCAAGGGTGGGATTGATGCTGCGCCCCGAGATTGTACGAGGGATCAGTTTTCTGACGAACCTGTAATGGACAAAGGTGTATCCCGTTCCGTCGGTTCAGATTCAACCATATCCCGTACGAACTCGTGGGCGTCGTCAACAACGAACTCTTCTTCATCTACATGTATCACGTCCCCATCTTCCTCTCCGTCCTCGAGCAAATTACATCTTCTACCTCTCGTTGAAGGTCGGAACGCACGATACCGAGTTTCACATTCGTATCACTCGCACAGGAAGAGCCACTTTACTGCTGTCGCGATGACGGAAACGCCCCTCATGAAATTTGAGGGTGACTCATTCCAAAGTGGCAAGGCAAATTTCAGAACATTGCGCGGCTCTATACACGAGCGAAGTAACAACGACGTCAAGTCGGCAATTGTCACACGCGTACGACAATCCGTCTACGGACTCGTAGACTTTGCGAACAGGATACAGCAGTCTTACTTGCGCACTGTCCAGTTTGCTGTTGTTCTGCATCCAGACGCGGCTCCACTTCAGACTGAGAGCCAGACCTCCCTACAATCGAACCGGAGCAACCTACCTTCCAAGCCAAGAGGTTATCGTGCGAATCCTCGAGATGTACAACGCTTCGCTCCCCATCCTGTTAGTGCGCCAACACGCGACCTTAATTTCCCTTCTGAAGTCAACATTCCTCTTGGCGAGTCCTCACCCTCCCGTTCTAATACCGCTACATCTGCTCGGGTTTTCGCACCGCTTGCATTTGTCCCACCATCACCATTACGTCCCCGTGAGATGCCTATTACGCCGGAATGGCGGCTACGACCAGTTGCAAACCCTTGCACGTTGCGGCTTAGGGCACATGCGAATTGTTTGAACGTAAAGGGCATTGCTTGGGAGGGTCGATCGCATGTTGGAAGCCTGGGTTGTGGACGAGAACGTTTAACAGGTGTTGCATTTGAAGGGCTTGGGGGAAGTCGGCTTGTCTTCGAAGCGAAATGATTTTCTTTTCTTTCTTCCTTTCAGCTCTTCTCTTCTACACTGTGCTGCCTTTTTTCCTTCTCCGTCAACGCACTTATTTATTGTGTTGCATGCCACTTTATGCTTTACTCTCTTCTTCTACAATGCTTGACGGGGCTATCTTTCTTCCTTACCACCCTACAGAGTTTATCCATCATTGTCTACTTCTTCACGACATTATTCCCAGCTTCTGGACCATCATCTTGAGTCTCCTTACATCATACCTTATAATCGAACCTCCTATCCATCAGGCAGCAATCTATTTTCTACCCTCTTATATCACTGTACTACCCACCAACGTCATATATCCGCGAAGAATTTCCTCTCTTCATTGACCCTCCGTAATACCAGTACCAGTTCTTCCTGTTACCTACTTTTTTATATCTCTTTCACCACTGTACCGATCATCTATCTACACAGGTTTCTTGTACATGTACGCACTGCATATGTAGCTTTAACCGTTTCCGTTTCCCCTAGTTACATTCTGTAGTATAAGGGTATTATTTCCTTCTCTTTTCCTGACGTTCATAATAATCAATGCTGTGCATATTGTAACGACGCCCGTTGTTGTAGCGATTTGTTGTCTGCATTATGTCCATATTGTCGTTGTGGTCGCTCCAAGCAGGCCTTCCATATTTGTCAAGCCGGACGCGTGAATCGGAGGTTGAAATCAAGCGCGTCGAAGTGATCGACGTAACGCGCAATCTAGTACCGTCAATTTAGACTGCACCATAAAGTCGCAAGTATAGCTCCCTGGATCGCGGGTCCGAGGATCATATTCTTGTTCAAAACGAAGCTTCGTGCAACATAAGAACGGTGTTGTGAGCCTGCCCACGAGGTCACTGTTCGAAGTGCGCGAGCAGTCAGGTGGTCTATGTTCGGAGCGGTTAATACGGCGAACAAATTATCTCAATTATTTAAAAGTAACGTACGGCACGGAAGAAGTGGTTTGTGTTGTTGCTGTTTGCCTTTCGTGAGATTGTGAGGACAAACGAACGATGCTGACGATGCGGTTTCATAGGAGGATGCAGTTATTGCAATGGCAGCCATATGTATATTTGTGGTCTGTCTGGTCGCAGTGGACGAGTTCGGTCCCGCCGATTGGGACGCCGGCGAGTGTAGCTGTTGATTATGTTAATCCGTTCGTTTTTTTCCCTTTGTATAGTATTCTTGCAATAACCATAGCTAATGATGTCGATGTTCTGGTCAGCATGATAGGAAATGGCGGAATCACACCTGACGGCTCAGGAGGGATGATCCCAAGCGTTGCACCTCCCTTCGGAATGACGCGTTGGGTTGCGCAGACGCGTCAGAACTACGTTTCTGTTACGCCGTATAACCATACGGATCGTGTTATCCATGGGTTCCAGGCGACGCATCAACCTGCTATTTGGATGGGTGAAAGCGCCACATTTACAGTCGTTCCTGGTACTGGCGCGGTGAAGCCCCGCTTTGAAGATAGAGGTATGCGCTTTGATAAGGAGGACGAGAAGGCTGGTGCTGCGTATTATACGGTTGATATGGTTGGTGGGGAGGATGAGAAGGTGAAAGCGGAGATGACTGCGAGTTCGTATTGCTGTTCTCCTTGTGTACTGCGTAACAAGCTCTAACTATTTCCTCTCCAGCTTCGCGAGTCGGCCATCTCCGATTCACCTTCCCCGCTCAATCAGATCCATACATCCTAATCGAAGCAACTCGCGCATCTGTCCTAGGTTCCTCCGACCCAAACAACGTTACCTTCCCCCAAGGTGCTATAACCATCGATCCCGCTACACGCGAGATCTCAGGGCGCAATCCGGAACGTCAAGACTTCCTCATCGGGCCCAGTCCAGCACCCAGTTTTGCGGGTTATTTCGTCGCTCGGTTTGATGCGCCGTTCACGTCTTGGGGAATCGCGAAGAATGGATCGGTTAGTGCGAATGAGACAGATGGTGATGGTGCGATGCTCTCTGGTTATGTGCGCTTTTCCAATGGGTCGAGTGCGGTGAATGTCCGTATGGGAGTGTCGTTTATTTCTGTTGACCAGGCTCGACGGAACCTTGAGAATGAGATACCTGACGGACGTGCGTTTGAGGAAACAGCGTACGAAACCCGGAAGGCTTGGAAGGACAAGCTAGATCTGATTCAGGTCGAAGGAGCGACGAAGGAAAACTTGACGACGTTCTACACCGCGTTCTTCCATTCATTACAGGTTGGTTTGTTGATTTTGACAGAACGGGGATCTTTGCACTGACTCGACTGTGCAAACAGTATCCATATGAACAAAGTGAAGACGGGAAATATTATTCTGGCTATGACGATACTGTTCATGAAGGCGCTTCGTATACGGGTTATTCTATTTGGGTAATTACTAGTTTTCTACCGTTAGTTGATGGTATTGAAAGGTTTTGTTAGGATACCTTCCGCGCAGAATGGGCGTGGCAGATCTTTCTCGTCCCAGAGCGCATTTCTGACATGGTTACCAGTATGCTGCAAGATTATAAAGAGGTAATGTGGTTGTAAAGTTTTTAGCACAATGCTGATGTTAGTAAAAGGGCGGCTGGCTTCCTATGTGGAAAAACATTGTCGGTACGACTTATCAATGACATTCTGCAGGGACATTCTTATCATTTAACATGTTATCTACATTGCCTAGAAACAAACATTATGGTCGGGACACACGCAGACGTCCTTGTATCAGAGGCCGTTGTGAAAGGCTTCGGTAATGGCTTTGACACTGAGTTAGCGTATGAAGCTGTTCATAAGGACGCAACTGTCCCCCCAGTCGGCGACGATTATTTGCAGTGAGTAATGCTCCGTTTAAAAACAGAGGCTGTTGTTTAATAAATAACTTCAGGTATGGAGACCGCCAACAGGTGACTGGAGGTATTTTTATCGGAACAGCTCGGAGAAGCTGAACGACACTGTTGCAGGGTGTTGGTTATGAAGTCCGTGCCGGTCTGTCGACAGTCTACGAACAGAAAGGCTGGGTCGCGAATGATATCCATTCAGAGGCCGCATCCAGAACTCTGGACTATGCGTGTTTGTTTGTTCCTATACTCATTTAGAAGCCGAAGACTAATAGAAGGATGTACAGATGACGACCACGCTGTCGCAATCCTAGCAGCATTCCTCAACAAAACCGAAGATGCAGAATTCTTCGGCGCACGTTCACACAGCGCATACAAGTCTATCTTCAACAATGGGACTGGGTTTATGGAGGCACGCAATGCTTCTGGTGCATGGGCTGGTGAGGACCAAGGTTGGACAGAGGGAGATATGTGGGCGTATACCTTTGATGTGCCGCAAGATATACCTGGCCTTGTTGCTTTGAAAGGTGGTAATGCCAGCTTTGTTAACTTTTTGGACCAGCATTTTGATGGGGGACATAATATGCATACTAACGAGGTGAGTAGCTTTGACACATGAATTGAGAAAGTCTGCTTAAGCATAGGAATATCGTCTTAGCCGTCGCACCATATACCATACCTTTACTCATTAGCAGGTGCTGCGTCGAAGACACAGGAACGTGTTCGTGACATTGCGATGAACGACTACAACGATACTGTTGACGGTCTAGTTGGGGTAAAGCACTCATTCTCTGACCCTTCTCCCCAAGATATTGAGCATCTTATATTTTTGTAGAACGAGGACTGTGGTCAGATGAGTGCATGGTATCTCTTCAGCTCTCTGGGCTTCTACCCCGTGGACCCGGTGTCAAATACATATGTTGTCGGAGCGTAAGTGGCATGCCCTTCAGAAAAGAAGCCCAACTCTCGGATTAACATTACCTTCCTCCCTTGATTCATCCTTCTTTCTCCCACACAGACCCTTCTTCGACAAAGTGACAGTAAAACTCCCTGGTGCACCCCGTCCACTCGTCATCTCCTCAAGTGGCGCAACCTCCAAAAAGTACGTGAAGAGTCTAACCATCGACGGCGTTGCACTTGACAACCCCGTCATCACACATGCGCAAATTGCACGAGGGGCGAACATCGTGTTTGAGATGAGTGACACTCCTCAGGCGTGGGGATCGGCTACTCTTAACATTAATAATGCACGTGGTGAGGGTGCGTTTGACTCTGAGGTACACAAGCGAACAGAGGGAGGTGAACGGGTTGAGAAGGCAGAGCTTTAGAGTCTAAATCCTGTGCAGGATCACTTGTCTATTTAGCTAAGGCTTTCTGGACTCAGAAGAGACGATCCGTTGGATATGTACATATAACATTGTAATATTTAAGCCCCCATGGAGATGTGCATTGCATGCCAAATTGAGTAACAAATCACTATAGACATACGACCAGAAGACAACAATTATTGAGATGCAGACCGAGATGTAGAGGCAGCAACAGGTGTGGTCACTGGCCATCTGAGCGTCTCATAATAAGGTTGTAGACAGCACAGGCATGCTCATTGTTACTGTAATTGAACCGGAGCTTGAATTAGAGCGCGTCAGACTCCTCCCCTCCTCGGATCCGCGTGTCTGAGCTAAAATTAACCCACGATCTGAGGTGAGGTGTATGTATGCCAAACACCAGACTCACCAAACTATCTATTAATATTGTTAGCCAAACAAGTACTGCTGCAGAGGTTCTGCATTTGTAATAAATCAAAATCATATGTATTAATATCATAAGAAGCCCATTCCAAATATTTGTCTTGTAGCACATGATATTCGATTTTCCACAGTCGGAACTTCGAATGCATATGGTGGGGCGGGGAAGACTGAGTTCCGATAATCGGTGACGAGCGGACTAATACAGTTATATAAATTACTTTACTTTATATGCGTATGCATTTCGTGAATTTGTCGGGGGTATATAATAATATGTTATGACATATCGGCTCTTCAAATTGCCGTGCCTCGTGGATGGAAATCGACTTTATATGAACGTTGGCACGTTCGTTGATGAAATAAACGCTTCACAGGAGGAAAGACGCGCAAGATCGGTGTGCCAACGAGGCGAGATGATTTAGAAGGTAGAGAGAGATGTCGTCAGGAAATGAAGATGAGACGAGATGTGGATGGTTGAAACGTTGTGTCCGTTCCTTGTATTGCAGTTGGTGATCACTGACTGCATCATGTAGTATTCGTGCTCTCTCACCTCTACTGCTTATAGAGGTTGTGCAACAGGAAGGTGTGATATCGAGATGTCTATTTTCAGTCGATCAATTCGTATTGATGTTGCGTATGGAAGTCAATTTGTGCGCTGGAAATCGTGCCGACTTGGAGCACGACGGTTGCTGTAGATCGATTTCCTCCACCTCGAAAATCTTCGCCAATCCCGAGCCCCGACACCAAAAAATTTTCAGAACTCTCAGACCCTGTTTTGGAGGAAGCAAAAGATCAAACTCGGAAGGAACCAACGGAGAACAAAGCTTCTGCAACATCTGTTCATCGACAGCATCAAGGAGGAAGGTCCGGTGACCTCACATGCATCCTGATGCCGAATTCTGCGAGATGTTGGCATCGCGATAGAGATGAACGAAATAGTGCTTCAGGTACAAGGGATCCGCGAGATTAACTTTGGGCGGGTACGGCACGGTTACGTGTTCTCAAACGAATCGCAAACGAGGAGCAGCTGCACAGTGAAAACTTGGAAGAGTTACTAGTCCAGAGAAGCTCGGAAGTTGCTGAACGCGATGAGCGTCCAACCGTGGGTTCGGCTTCTTCGGACACGAGTACAGTCTTGGTGTGAGGATTCGCAAACGGTGTGGCGGGCGAGAAGAACTGAAGTGCATTGTGCAGAATGCCTAAACATAGGCTGTGGGCGAAAGCGCAGAAAGGCTGCTTCTTTGAGACCGAAGCGTGAGTTTTGCAGACGCGCGCCGATACTCCAATATGGTTCTGCCGGGCGTGGTTACCCAGGCAGACTAGTATGCAGTAATGTACTAGTTGCCATGGCATTTTATCGAATCGGACGCTGCATGACCAGAGTTGGGGCTCGGAGAGGATTCGAAAAATCTTCGTTCATCCCGATCTGGATGGAGGATGGATTGCTGATCGGCTATTCGCGGCTGCGGATGGTCGGAGACGGAAGTCCTTTTATTGTTGATTAAAAATACATATTTCCCCCTCTTTCAACTACAACAACAATGCTCTGCGGCTCTGCCAGGCCAAAACAAACGGTGACATGAGGACAGCAACACATGGATATTAGAAACAAATGTATCCCTTTTCACCAGATGCATACAAGGTGAAAGGACAACCCGGTGCAATATATGGTATCCTTGGAAGCATTTGATCCGGCAGGAGTTAATTTAGTTTTTCGTGATTCACATCTCAGCGTAGAGAAGAGGTGGCTTGCGGTATGCAGGCGTCCCCACGCGAAACACAATCGATTTGCCTCCATAAGCATGTGCCTCCCTCTATTCATCCACTCTGTGGCCTACCCATCTGATTCGAAGCTGGTCCACAATAATCAGCTAGCAACCCGTGGCCCCATGATTTTTTTACACCTATAAAGACGCTTTGACTTCCTTTCCCCGCCCCTCTCACAACTCACTCCCGCTCACTCACTTTCTCCCTGCTTGAAGCAGAGCCTTTACCTTTCTTTATTTCCTTTCGGGACTTCTTCATTCTTTCGCGCAATGGTCGCCTCAAGCATTCTTGCCCTCGTCCTCGCGGCATCCGCCTCAACGTCCTGGGCCGGTCCCCTCAATAAGCGCATTGCGCAGACTATCGCCGACTCTACTGCCAAGTGGGAGCAGGCATGTGTACGTCTTCTCATTTCGTGTGTCTGTGCCCCGGTCCTTTTTGACTTTGTGGCTTTGCTTTGTAGACCGCAGCGGGTGGTGCCGACAAGTGTAATCCCCTCTCCCAGACCGCATTCATGACCTTGCTTGCTGCGGCTGGCCCATGCGACCAGCAGAACGCAGGAGACCAGATGATCGATCTCGCGAAGCAGCTGAACAACAACGCAGACATGATCAAGTTCACACAGATCTTCGTCCAGCAGCCACGGAATTCGCCCGACTCGTTCTCAATTCCTTACTGCCAACAAGCACCGAAGAACTCTGAATTGAACGGACTCTTCCAATGCCAGTTCGATGGTACGAAAGACACCTTCACGGGTAACCTCCAGGCTGGTGCCCAGGGCACTGTGCCACTTGGGTTGCAGAGTTTGAACCCTCCGAAGTCCTGCCCCGCGAACCCGCAGGGTGGTATTGCAGACGGTACTCAGCTTGTGGATGTTACCCAGGATCCCGGTCTTAAGTGCGTATTTACGCAGTTGAAATTGTTGACGATTTTAGCTGACAGCCACATTTTTAGCAACATTAAGGGTGGTTCAGGCAACTCTGGCAATAACTCAGGAAACACTGGTAGTGGTTCAGGAAATTCCACTGGTAGTGACTCGGGAAATTCCACTGGTAGTGACTCGGGAAATTCCACTGGTAGTGACTCGGGAAATTCCACTGGTAGTGACTCGGGAAATTCCACTGGTGGTGATTCAGGCAACGACACCGGTAGTGGCTCAGACAGTGGCTCAACTGGCTCCTCCAACGGCAACACCGGTGATACCGGCGACTCGAGCTCAGACAATGGCTCGTCCTGCAATCCCATTTCTTCCGCCGCAGCGCCTTCCGCAACTGCTACTGGTAACAACGCCGCCGCAACGCCATCATCCTCTTCATCGTCGTTCGTCCTCCAGAATGGAAAGGACGCGCAGAAGCTCAACGCAGAGTTCAAGAACCTCTCTGCGGATAGCTCGTGCAATACGGGTGACTCTGGATGCGTTGGCTCATCCTTTGCGCTCTGCTCTAATGGCAAGTTCGATTTGATGGACTGCAGCACTGGTGGAAACACATGCGCTGCTCTTCCTCTCGTCAACAAGCCGGGAACGAGTGTCACCTGCGTATCTGAATCCGAGGCTCTCCAGCGTATTGCCGCGACGGGTGCGACGGGCGGTCTGACTGGTTCAGACTGAACGCGACTTTCGCTTGTGCGATTTTGTGGGTATTTTGATACTGAAGAATTTTTATAACGAAGCCATTAAGGCAGAAAAATGTATCATTAGCTCACTCTTAGCGGATATACCTCACATTCTTTATTCCCCTTATTTTGTATGACTTCTCAACAAATGGAATTTTTGAAATCACAATAATGATTGAGTGGGAACATGTTTACGTAATATTAGTAAAGTATTATAAAGGAAATCAAGGATCGGTGCATAAGGCAAAGTTTTGAAGTCAAGGTAGCCATTACCTGTACACACCATGCCTTCGAAACCAAAATCAATATTCAAACAACCAGGCGCACGGCACTTCCAGCTTGTCCACCGTTCCCAGAGGGATCCACTTATTCATGATCCAGAGGCTAGCACTCATGTCTTGAAGCCTATTCTAAAGGTATGTCACTGTATGTTTTTGGCAATCATCACGGCGAGCCATAACAATACGCTTGCTTAGGGCAAATCAAGAGCAGAGCTCGAGCAATCTCTGTCGCCTTCCGAGCTTGCGCAAGACCAAGAGCGTGCAAATATCGGCGAGGCATCGTTATTCGGCGTATACTACGATGATACGGAGTACGACTATATGCAACATCTGCGCGAGGTCGGCGTGCAAGAAGATGGAGTCGACAGTGTACTCATCGAAGCACCGAGCTCCTCTGCGAAGAGAAAAGGAAAAGGACGAGATATGGTTGACCTGACCCTACGAGACCTACCCAGCGAGGCGTTACCTTCACAAACAGAACTTACGAGGGACCAGGTGTACAGCGCGCAGGACGCGTTACCTGAAGATATTAGAGGACTTCAGCCGGATATGAATCCGCACTTAAGGCAGACGCTTGAGGCGCTGGACGATGATGCGTTTGTGAACGACTCGGCGGATGATGATTTCTTCTCTGAGCTCGTTGGCGAGGGAGAGCTTGAAGGGGATGCAGATGACCTTGAATTCGAGTTTACGGAAGATGGGTTGGATGAGGGAGAGGAGACGGAGAAAGAAGATGCTGGCACTGCTGTTGGTACGAAAGGGGAAGAGGAACGAGACGAAGGCTGGGAAGCTCGATTTGCCAAGTTCAAGAAATCGCTTGAAGCAAAGATAAAAGAACAGCAGGCCGAATCTGACCTGGCTTCTGACATCCGTTCGGAGGGAGGTGATACTGTGGGGCACTTACCGAACATCTCAGTCATCGGTGGCAAGAAGCGACGCAAGGGAGCTTCCGACGCTTCAGGCTATAGCATGAGCAGTTCCTCCATGTTCCGAAACGAGGGACTGTCGTTGCTCGATGAGCGATTCGATCAAGTAAGTCTCAAACTCGCAAGACCCTTTGCTTATTCCTCTGTCTTACTATGATCTTTACTAGATCGAGAAAGAATATGAATCCGACGAAGACGAACTCTCCGAAGACTCAGATGAAGCACCCGAACTCCTCACATCCCGAGAAGACTTCAACGCCATCATGGATGATTTTTTGGACAACTATGAAATTCTCGGTGGCAAGATGCGTCCCGTCCTTCCGGGCGAGACCGTCACCGACAAACTCGGGACAATTCGCCAAAGTCTTAAAGAAATCGGATATGACGCACATGCTCAACTGGAAGAAGACGAAGATGAGAGCGATGAGGCATATCGAGAACTTGTGGAAGAGAAGGGAGAACGGTGGGATTGCGAAACAATCCTAAGTAAATACAATCTATGAGTGTTATTGGAAAGGATACGTTTTGATTTTTGTTATTTGCAGGCACCTACAGTAATTTGGAAAACCACCCAAAGCTCATCCGTGTGCGAAACACGGAGAAGGTGCCAAAAATTCACCTAGATCCAAAGATTGGCGTCCCGTCACTGAAGTCGGACGAGGACAAGAAAAGTTCTCAAGCGGATATTGAGGCCTCTCGAAGTAAGTATCTTTCCCTTAAGCACTTCTTGGCACGACACTTATTTGCTCTTCGTACGAAAGCGACTCACACCACTATCGCACGCAAGAAAGACGAGTCAAAAGAGGAAAAACGCGCTCGAAAGCAGGCAGTGAAGGAAGAACGTCAGACACGCCGTGCTGAGAAAAAGATCACGCAGGAGCAATTTGCCAATGAAAGGCGAAACCAGCTCAACGCACACTCAAATTTGAAGAAAGGTATCAGAAAGTTATAGCTTGAAAGTGTAGATGTTTGTAGGTTGGAACATAGTGCTGGTCAATAGATGTGATAATATACAAGTGCGGGAATGTGGAAAACGAAGAAATGTGTAGTAGTACAACATTGAAGTTGATCCAGAACCATTACTATAATCATTACCAGTCGGGCCAAAGCTCGTGAAGACCGTGGTTATCCTCTTCGTACGCATCGTAGTGCTTCATCCATCGGTCAGGAACCTGGAAGAATGGAGGCATGTCAGAAAGTAAAGACCAAACGCGCACGGCGAAAAACGCACGAGAGGGAAGTATCGCTCCATTGCCGTCAAGAATCTCTGCCTATATTGCTTGGGAGTGACAATGGTGGGTTCTCCCTTCCCCGCTCCTGCCAAGAAAGTGGATTCCTTGACCCAGCTCTCGAGCTTCTTATCCCAAGTATAAGTACGGATATAGTCTAAAAATACCCGTCAAGACCTTACATCGGGACATCTGAAGGAATTCAATACGTACCGACAATACCAACCACGAGCTCATTTTTCACGCTGTCAACGCCGACAAGGAGGGAGTAATCCATGACGTTTATGTCCGCCAAAAACTTCGTGTCGTTGTACAACGCTCCACGGAATAACCGTTTTGCATGTTCCCGTACGTAGAAAGGTGACAGGTGGGCAGCTAGACGCATCTATTTAGTTTGATACAACTCTCTAGAATCCGGTGCTCACTTTGCATAAGATTTTCATCGAGCAAGACTTCATTCTCGCGGCCAGTGGCATGGACATGTCGATTTCTCGTTGATCCTTTAAGATCGTAGATCTGGAGGATAGAGTTGACACAAAGTCCTTCTTAATCATCTACAATCACTTACCTTCGAGAAATGCTTGTCGTAGAAGAGGTTTTCCATAACAAGCAGATTCATCTGCGTCGACTTGTGCCGCGACGCCCTTTCACCTGTAGCCTTCTTCCTGAAAACGAGCTTGTAACAACCAAATACTCTCGCTAAGAGCGTCGGACGCTAGAGTACTAGGTCAGAATGTTATGGCTGAATTTGTAAGAATAAGAATAATTACTTGTGCGGTTACGGCCGAAGACATGTAATCGAAGTAAGCGGGACCGAACGTCGCCATCGTCTCCAGTTCTGGTCGAGAAAGCTCCTTCGCAATGAAACGGTCATCTACACATGGATTAGCTTGCGATTGCAAACTCAGTCAATACTTCGCAAACCTCGAGTCTTTAGGAAAGCAGATCCGGATTTGCCACCACTGGCATTCCACTTGACACATCGAGCGAGTGATTCGATCATACTTTTTTCGCAGTCATAGGTTCTGCGAAGAGCATCGAACTGCTCTGGATAAAGAATTGTACAAGTGATGGTGAGATCTCCACTTTCAAATGCTGCAAAACTATCAGTAACGATCAGAAAAGACGGAGAGGTTAATCATACATATGGCCCAAGGAAGCCTGGACGATGGAACACGGAGATCCTCTGTGGGGTTTCCGTCATCCGTAGTTTCGACATTAACGACGCCCCATGTGGAATTAGTGTCTGTCACGGAACAGTCGTCTGGCATGAACGCCTCCTCGCCATCCGACAACCTCGGTTCCTTGACGAGTCGCTTCTCCGCTCTTGACTTTGTGAGCATGTCACGATATTGCGGTGAACTGAAGGCCGTCAACAATTAGAGATGAGTTCAGGATAATCGGTGCACTCACTTTAATGCCAGAGCTATGATTGACGTCGGTTCATCCGTTCTGACAACCATCGAGGACTCCCGGAATATGTGTTCAGGATCTGCCATGGGATCGTCACCCTCAAAATCGAAATTGCCACGAATATGATTGGGCCAGAATCCAGACAGAGCTTTCATAAAGGTAGACGGTCTCTCATAGATAGATGTTCCAGTTTCAACATCAGACGGCGAGGGTGTTTCGGAAGGTGTTTGAACAGTCTGTCCTTGAAGGAGTGGAGAAGGTAAGGTTTCTGACATCGGCCTTGTATCGGTTGCAGGGGTTGGTAATGGAGCAGGTGGATAAGTCGACTCCGGCGTTACCTGAAGGATAGGAGGCTCATTGTGGGTTGTGCTTTGATCAGCTGGAATCTGATCAACGTTCTTCGCCTGCTCGGAACTTGAGGTCACGTCTTTACCCGCTTCTGTCTTCTTCATGGTCAGTACTCCTTCGTCGTCGTCCTCATCCTCATCGTCAGCTTCGCTCGATGAATCATCAGAGACGTCGGAGACATCCTTGATAGCATCTTTCACACTGTCAAATACTTCTACCGTTGCCCGCGAAGATGCAACAGGCCTTGCTCGCCTCCCCCTTATCACTGCATACCGCCTTGTCGCCTTTTCGAAGTCTTTGTTCATTCTCTCGAATTGACGAGCAATGTTAGAAACCTTTCCCCCAAAATTAGTGTTTGAAGCCTTCCGAAGGGTATTCCTAATGTTCGACGTCGATCCTACACGACTAGGCTGTGACTTATCCTTTGACGAAGGTTTACTAGCGGCCTTCGCTTTCGCATTTCGGCTAGGTGTCACAATTGCTGTCGCTTTCGAAGGAGGAGGTGAGACCCGTCCGCGTATGGTTGAATCAGTATCATGCTTGTGCATCCCAGGTCGTTTATCTGGAGAAGTTCTCCTAGAGGAGTCACGAGAGTCCATGGACGATACCGGACCCGGTATGCGACTGTTTTGATGAATGAAGCCAGTCGTTTTCCTGTGAGCAAGGTATCTGGGGGCCACATTCGCTGCGTAACTATGTTCAAAGTCGGAAACAGAATCCTTCCTTTTTAGCGTCTTTGACTTGCTCTTCACCCGAGATCGCGGAGGCCGCTGAACAATTGGCGTTTCCTGGTCACTCTCCAGAGCATAATGCGGTCTGGATGGGAAAGCAGAGGTAGCGAGTTCTTGCGAAACGGATGCCGGAAGGAAGTCTTGGTATCGTTTTACCAGATCTGCTACACTAGTATGCTGACCTGAGCGACGTGGGAGTTTAGACGTTGGCGGCATGCGTTCTGCGTCGAGCTCAAGGTTGTCGATCTGCTTTAACACATCAGCAACAAGTAAAATGACAGTGTAACTGGACATACCTGGGCAGTGTTGCTTTCGTTAAGGTCAACGACAGGACTGGCGATTGCATGGACTTTTTTGTCCGCGGCGATTGTGGAATCACTATCTGATCCGTCCTCAGCTGCCGCCTTGGACGTTTCATCATCACTCTCCGAGATAGTTACCACAGGTGCCTTGGGCCGAGATTCTTTCGATGCACCCTCGACATCCGAGGTATCGGTTGTCGACTCGGTTGAGGTTTGTGACTCGCTGGTCGTTCGACTCTCACCTGGTGGCAATTCATCACTTTCTGATACACTAGAGGCCGGTAAATGTAGGTTCTCCAAGACGCCGGGAAGGTCATAGCGTCGCGGCCACATCCCTCTGACGGTGCTGAAAGTACCCTTTCTATCTTTTTCTGTAAGCTGAGATAACTTGGGCTTCGGAAGTTTATCAAAGTCAGCCTCCCACGCGACGATTTTATCCTGTCTCTCGGCTCGAACGCGGTTCAACGCAAGAGTGTCAATTGGTGAAGTGTCCTTGTAAACCTCTTGAATGAGCTGTGCCATCTCTGCCCGTTCAGCGAAGGCCCGTTCAATGAGCTTGCTGATGGTTGCGGTAAGTGCAGCGTCTGCTTCCTCATCTCCAGTTGCGGCGTCAACATTGATGAGCTTCAAGTCTTCAACAAGAGCAGAATACCACTGAGCATTCCTCTTAAGTAGCTTCTCATAATCCTCGTTTTTGACATGCAGCAGAGTTTCCCTTCGAATGTGGATATGACTTGGTGGGTAAACGACTTCGTAGAGAGTGATTGGATCCGTCTGAAACATGACCGTCATCCCTCGCATCGCAAAGTAACGAATGTGATGCTGGTATATATTGTGAATGCAACCTGCACCTTGAACCAACTGAACGTCTGCCGGATAGAAGTGGAGCTCGAGGAACTTCGCGAAAGAATACCGTTGCATTTCCTCCGACACAGGAATGAATGGCGTTGCAGAGCCACACACCTTGCATGCACTCCACGTTGTGATGAGGTCGGGTGCTGGAGTAGCATTTAGGAGTGTTTTTATCTGACCGTCCCAGTGCTCAACGTAAATTACTAGCCTACTCTCGTTGTGAACGAAAACCCGACAGTGTCGCGCCAAGGGCTGGTCACAAGCTTTCCCGGAACAAATAGCTTTAGGATCGAGGAACTGTATCAAGTTTTCATGGATCGCCTTCTCGATAAATTGACCCAGTGTACAATCATCATCGCCGTAAAAGGTGATCTGCTTGAGGTGAGGTGGGAAGCAAGCTCGATGATGGCCCAGCTCTGTGATCGGCAAAGTAAACTCCATGGCAATGATATATTGGTACTTGTCCACCACGAAATCGTCATTATTCTTCCGCAAATACCATTCCCATACGCGACGTTGCTCTTCGTGTTGCCATTTCACAAGGTCATAAGCGCTCTGCACGGCTATATCGTGTTCATCCCGGAAGTGAACTTCTTCGTACTCGCCCAAAAGTTGTTGAGTTTTGGTTGAAACAGTTGCTGATCGTAGATTGGAATAGGACGGGGAAGGCGCAAGTTTACTGGAGAAATAATCGGTTGATAGAGTGGATGTAGAGGTTTCCGTTGCATGTGATGCCCTAATGTCTGTCACAGGGGATTCCGGAATGCCTGGGGAAGGTAAGGCTTCAATCTGTGCCTTTATATCTTCAGTGGTAGTGATAGTCTCGGGGGAAGAAGCCGTCACCGTTGCTTCCTGCGTGTGTCTTGGTGTAGACGTTTTCTCCTCGGAACGGATAACTTCATCTTCCCATGCAATACGTGCTCGATGAAGCTCGTCATCGAGTTCCTTCATTCGCCATATCGGATGAGGTGGAGGAAAACGGAGCGTTGCAGAAACTGAAATGAAGGTTTTGAGGTATGGCTCCAAAGAAGCTTGGATACGGCGCGAAAGTTCCAGTGACTTAGCATCCTCGCTCGGTAGTTCTTCCAGAGACATATGATCCGATAATTCCTTGCTATGTGTATGCATGTCTAAGGATCCAAAGCGCCGGGAGTGGGCAATACGAGATTGCTCGGACATCGCCTGTGTTGAGGTCAAATAGGATTGAGGGACAGCATCCGGCGTTAGATGGGGTGCTGTGATTACAGAGTCCTTCCATAGGTGCGTTTCCAGTTTCAGGTTTCGGACTATGAAGGCCAAAAATAAAGTAACTTTCTTGATTCGTCTCAGATGACCCATATCGCCACCCCTCAAAATTATTGTGCATCCTAAGTCACGGCTGCAACCCTCGAACCGCATATATGACTTTCGTCTCGCTGGGATTAGAGGATGGTCGAACGTTTGGACTCTGTAAGACCCACAGTGACCCAGGCGAGGCTCAAACGCCAACTTGTCAATGGATGAAAGAATATCACCTTGGGTCATACGAGCAACGAGTCGAATAGCTGATTCCTTCACTGTTCTAGCGACCGCGATCTTGTGTTCCACCAGAGCTTCTAGTGCCAGCCGCGAGACTGACTTCTCCGCCAGTACAACATGAGGCCTCAAAGCAGCAATTCGGGTGACAAGGTTCCCGAGGTATTCTTTCTCTTGCCGAACAATCTGACCAAAGTGCATATATTGACCTTCGACACGCTGGAACTCGAGGGGAAATGTCACAAACATAATACGGGGGTTGCGCTGTTCTCTGGACATTTGTTTGTGAGCGACGTTCTTTGTTATCACCGCTCCGTCGACATATTCTGAATCCCTTGGAGAGCCACCTGGTATTTTCTTGATCTTGACATAACGGCGTACATCCATATCAGCTCCTTCTCGGTACGGGTAGGCGGTAAAAGTGAGATCCCTTGATATTCGAAGGGCGAGCTTCTGGAGAGTCTCTTCCCATTCCTTGACATTCGATATTCCCTCCGTCGTAAGCATTTGTCTTAGCATTATCCGCAGATGGAACATCGAAATGGTATTGAGCTCCTGAGCATAACTTGGCAAAGATTAGACTAAACTCCTTGTCTTAACAAAATGAACACTAACGCTGTACTCTCTCGCCGAGTGCGCCATCCGGCTTCGCCCATGCTAAGTTCGTTTAGTCGACTCTGTACCCTGCTGCGCAGATAAGGCGTCGGGAGATCGGTCTCTGCGGACGAGTTCACTCTTGATCGAGAGATGCTAGAACGACGCGGGCTGTCCAATCCAAGTTCTGGTGACCCGCCTGGAAACTTTATAGAGCTCTTCGTTCCAGCAGCAATTGGTGATGTCGAAGAACCTGGAAACTCTGGGGTCTTTGCCCCAGAACGCGGAGCGGTTGGAGATTGGTCAGAGGGAAACGGATCTGATTCGGGTATAGAGTCTTTATCCTCGTCGGCTAGCGTACGGCGAAATGGAGCTGGTTGAGCATCCTCCGTGTCTTCCCAGTAACTATCCTCCATTTCAACGCCTGGCGTCAGAGGACGAGATCCAAAGCCACTGCCGTCGGATCCGGAAAGATGCCTTTTGGTTTCCGCGATCGAATACAGATTATATGGTTCATCGCGGCCAAACAGCTGAGAAGCGGCAAACGGAGACTGAGAGTGATGGCCTAAAGCGTGTAGGTAGTTGTCTGACGCATGATAAGGGAAAGAAGATGAGATGTTCGATATGACTGAACGCCTGTCATCATCGTCACCATCTTCGTCGTAATGCAATTTATCCAGACATAGGTTACAAACACGAAGCATCCCCTCGTGACCGAATCGCGTTCCCTTGATGATATTTGATGCACATCGAGAACAGAAAATCTGGCCTACAATATCACAATCAGCATTTTGCAGCATGGCATGATTCAATTTAATGCGCACCACATATCCTACAATGATGCTTTCTCCTCCATGTTGTAAATACGCTTTTACAATCGTAGCATTCCTTCGCATTCTCATCATCCATCCAATAATCCCGCGACAGCCCTACAACACAAAATCAGAGAGTATGGACCATACTAGAACTGCATTCAAACCTTCTCCACGTATCCGTCTAATGACCTTTGATACCGAAGCCGATCGTTTCAAACTGGTCGTAGTGTGTATACTCCGTGCATCATCTTGGATCGGAAAGCCTGGTATAGCCGTTCCAAACATGCCTCCATCTTGCGATTCGGCTGTTGGAGAGTAGAAGAAGCCAGTCCTACTTGGTGGCTTCTCATACTCCGGGCCAAAAGTTGGCGTCTCGGGGTGTGCTGGGATTACGGACACTAGGGGCGGAGCAAGAGAGGGACCAGAGGAACCAACGATCCTAGGACGGAATTTGTCCGATACAGGTTTCATGACAGGGCTCGTGGCCTGTATGACATGAGTACCAGCCGAGGGTCGCTTTTGATCGTTAGGAGGCGCGCTTTCGCGACCATTGGTGGTCGATGTGCCAGACGCCGCCGCGACAGCTGAGGATAGTGGCGCCGCAAACGAATTCTTGACTCGGGAAAACAAAGAGGACACCAGGGTATATGACGATTCGTGTTCATCCTCCTCAGAGAACGGGTTGAAGCTTGTCAAGCTCGTGACATCGTCCACGACCTTGGTGGAACTGTCACTCGACTTGAGAACACCTCCACCGGATGCTGTAGTAGGCGAAGTAGGCTGGAGCTGCGGTGACTCCATGCTGAATCCAGCACCGTCGCAACCAGAGCGAGGCAAGGGTTTAATTCACTTCTGACATGAGACAACAGCTTTAATCTGAGAGCAGTAATGAGGGTTGCAAGACACAGCAGTGCAAGGCAAGGATAGTGTACTGATTCTTAATATGGAAGATACGGTGATGATTCAATATACAGGACACATAAGCACGTGCGTTGCAAACAACTCTTTTAATTACTGCAATTATTCATCCTCGGAAAAATCAACCCAATGCCTCTAAAATACTTGGTGCACCCATGAGTGAGCTCTCTCCATTCCTGTTGCCCGCTTTTTGTGTGATTGCTGCGTGTACACCTTCGATTGCTTCGGTCCACTTTTCGAGCGCCGTATAACGCCGTTTCTCAAGTTTTTGCCTGTTCACGCGAGTCAAAGTTAAAAGAGTGCAAGATTGGGCCGGTGGAAAAACGTACTGCCTATCCAACTCTAATCGCATGCCAACTTGGTCAATTCGGCCTTGAACCTTACCCTCGAGAATGAGATCCATGAGCATCTCCTCAACCTCGTCCGTCTCCACATTCAATTGCTAAGCAAAGTCAGACGCAAATCTCTGTAATGATAAAACGAAGTTACTAACTCTTGCTAAGAATGAAAGCTCGAGGCGCATGTACGGTTTGATGAGGTCAATTAGGTAGGATGTCCGTAAACTTCGTAGCAAATCCCCAATGTACGATTGTATGAAAGGGTCGCCCATGATCGTGGCCTGATTCTCTGGAGACGCCCGTCAGCTTCGACGAATAAGCGGCAATTACCATCGCTTTTACCTTTGAGAATCCTCTCGGCAGTATGAACTTCTCGTCGCTGATATGCGTCGACGAGGTCTGTCATGGCTTTAATCTGAGGGTCTGCCTTATATCTATATTCTGTAAATGAGAATAGGTCACCAAGGTTTACTACTGAATGCATACGGCTTCGTTTCTTGCGTATCGAATGGATTGACCTCACTACCAGTAAGCATGTTTGCCAGAACAAGGTATTTCAAGACTTGAATGCGCTGAGGGGAGCCAGCATCGTTATAGCTATTGAACGATTGGAAGAAGTCTTCACTAGCACGACTCCATTGGCCTAGTAAGCCTTTGTATGAGCAATGATCTTCGGAACGTTATAGAGTACGCACGTTCTCCCATCCACATCTTACCACCACATTCCTTGATGACACCCATTATACGTGGATGAGGAATGGCAGAGCGGACTTCGTTTGTCGCATTATAGATTTCCTTTTATTTGATACCGTTGGCATTGCACATATACACGAAGTGGAGAATACTTACCTTCAATTTCTTGTAGTTTTTCGTCTCGTTGTACATCTGGATCTCAAGTGCATATATTTCAAGAAGTTGCGTTCCGCGAGACTGTTGATCTTCAGACTCTTCCGTTTCTTGGTGTAACTGACGAATAACCTAAGAGATATTTGTGTCAGTTGACATAGGTGACAAACCAGTCACTGCAATACATTTTCTAAACGCCCGAATTCCCTTCTGTCGAGCCAAAGCTTTGCGAGCTTTAGATTTGTCTTCGCTGAAAGTCGCTGTAATCGAGGTCAACACATTGAAATAATGCTATTCACGGATTACTAGCCTCATTCCTTGCCTCACTTAAGGCGTCCAAAGTAACCTGATAGAACTTCTCGAGGACATTGACGTTGATCTCGTCCCCTTGGCCTGTACCAACATAATCCAATATTGAGTTGATGGATTTCTCTGCATAATTCCGAGTGACTGCAGTTTTTGTATATGACAGAAGCTGCGTATAAGTCTCAAGAGCCTCATCAGGTCGGTGGAGGACTTTAAATAGCAGCTTTGTGGCTTGTTTTAGAGCCTTGAATCCCCTTCAACCAGAATCATGAGTCAAAGCAGAGGTATAATCGAAGTCTTCCACATACCAGTCACTCTTTGACTCCTCCGTCGTTACAATACGCTTAAATGCAGCGAGCGCCTCTTCCGGATCTTCACCTTTCAATGCTTGAAATATCTTCAGAATATCGCAGTGCGGTAACCAAACAAGAACTAACCCTTCGCAGAGTAATATAAGTTCTCCAAATCGGGAGTACCAGTTTCGTCCGCCTCGTCTCCGTCAGAATAGTCGAAGCCATAATCCTATCGACAATACAATTGTAAGTCGACGCCACTGAATATGCGTGGTTAAGCTAACCTCATCCTCGCTTCCCTGCATATAGTCGGCGTCATCGTCATCCATGTTATTTAGAAGTTTTCAGATTGACAAGGTAAATAGCCACCAGAAAGGTGTGTTAACGATGGTACAGACGAAGGTTCAAGGAACTGGTTGTGTCAAGTCCAACGCAGTTACAATTGCAATTGCGTATAGTGAAGTATGCATCACGTGACACAAACACTCTTGCATTAGTTATAACTTGAGAATCTATAGGCTACATAACAGCTCATATTGATATCAAACAGCTAGTCTATTTGTGCTCATCATAAGCATTTCACAAAGAACCTACTACAATGGCATACTCTATTTGCAGAAGACGTTCATAACAATGCCTATGATGCAGCCTATCCCACTTCTTGACATCTATTTCACGCAGGGCCAATGACTCAACGTGCATTTCCAGGTGACTGAAGTAATGATTTGAATACGATGAAATCAAGGTGTAATCCTAACAGTGGGCAAATCTAGTGACTTAAAGGGCTGAATTATATCATAATGAACTACAAACAAATAAGTAAGCAAGTCGCATCTGGTAGTAATTAAAGCTCTCATGATGCTCACATATCTATTTTATGATGATGACGGGGACTTCCAATCATAATCCCATCCTGCTCGCGGAGGCGTATCCGTAGGCAGCCGTAGCTCTCGAGGAAATAGCCCTGGCAATCTCCCCTCCATCGCCTTCTTTTCCGCTCCCCTCACGTTCTTCAGCTTTTCCAACTCTCCATGCGACACTTTTCTTGGATCGTCGACACGATTCGCCCCCTTATAAAGAGACGGATCGATTTTTTCTAGTTCTGACATCGCCCGTTGCATGCATTCGAATTTTCGCTTCGCCTCCTCTTCTCGCTTCCATCGAATATGCCGTTCGTGCAGAAGCCAAGCACGCTCTATCGTCTCGTGAGCTTGTTTAGAAGGTATTGCTCGTCGTAATGCTTTGGCGACATCTGGCCTCCATGTTCCGGTGGGCGTCTCTCTATTTCGAAGATTACTGGGATACAGGACGCGACGAATTAATTCGTTGTTTGGGTCACCCGACTGTCCCGCCTTCCGAACGGCGTTACGCGTGGGTACGCAAAATGGCGACAAACGTCTCCATGATGGACTTGATAGAGAACGAGTAGAAGACGAAAGAGAAGTCATGGTAGGTAAAGAGTTAATTCCTCGAACAGCGTGCCAAAAAAGCACTCGAAATTGTAAGAAGGTCACATGACCCTTTTCACAGACGTCAAGCTTTGACCTCCGGTTTAATCTATCTCTATTGAGGAATTCATGTCTCGTAGAGTCAACTTGATCAATTTCTGCGTGGCTGCTGCTACAGGTATTACCATGGCTTAACTTAGTTAAGGTGCTTTTCTGAACTCACGTTTCGTACATTTCCGAAGGTGTCGTTTCAGGCGTTTACATTTTCAAGCCTCTCATTACGAATAATACTCAGACGTTCGTACCAGATGTAATTGCTCCTTGGAATCATTTCAGGCTAATTTTGTCTCCTTTTTCTGACGCATAGTACGACTATTCACGATCAGAAGCCCCAAAATGACAATGCGCAGGGACGAAATGAATCCCTGCCCTCCGAGTCGGACTAGTCAAACCCGAGTGAGGCCAGCTTGGCCTCATCGGTTCCAAATATAAATGCCGAAAAGTCTTGAGGCTTTGTCTGCACTTCTCAATGTTTCCGTTACCCATAGATAGCGAATCATACATTGCATCCACCAAATAGTCTATCTTAACGCAAATTTGTCAATCGGAGAGACTACTTTATTTCTACCGAACAGTCGTTAAGATCATCGCCCGTCCACGGCCATTTTCTGTTCATCAAGAGGAGTAGGTTGGTCTCTTCTTTCCCAAATCTAAATCAGGTAATTCGCGTATGAGGGTACTACATGAAAACGTTAATGAGTGGTAACTTACCTGAATAACGGTTTCGCCTAAAAATATCATCTCCTTTCTCACTTCTTCCACAATCAAATCTTGTATTTGATACCACTTCTCGTTATCACCACCGCCTGAGCCGGCTCGCAAGTGTACTTTCCAGGCTGTGTTCACTTTGTCGCGCGTTGTTCCAGCTACGGACTCGTGAATTACGTTGGCGATCAGATCGTATACTGTACTGGGATGATTTGGCGGAGCATCCAAGTCTTTGGCGTGTCAGTCACTCCGGGAACCAAAACAAAGACTTGAAGTTCACTCACATTCGCTAAAGTCCACTCCTCGCAGTGGGAAGTTCACAATGGTCGGGTTCTTCTCTTCGACGAAAATGTTTTTCGTAAAGCGCTTAAAGTGGAGAATGAGATAACGGGGTAAGCGCTGGCATTTGAATCGCCGTAACTGGCCCAAATATTCCTGGGTGGAAAGTACTGTGAGAGCGGGGGTCGCGGACAACTTTTGGAAATCGACTTGCCTGAGTTGTTCTACCGTCATACTTTGATAGCACAGACGCCAAGCTAACTTGAGGAATGATGTTCTTCTCGACGGAGTCCTGGAACAGCGGAGGAGGGGGGAGATCGACGGACAAAAAGAGGAAAGGTGATGTGGTTGTTTTCGTTTCTGAATTGAAAATTCTGGTCATCGTCTTTCCATGACAAAATCAGGAACCAACCTCTGTCAATATCAAATTGAGGACGGTGACTTGATTCTCCTTCTGGTTTCACAATGACCTGTTGCGTTTCCATGCGGAGTTCTCCTTGGAACGTAGAATAGATAATACCTTTTAGACTGAAGAGTGAATATTGGGGGACAAGACAAAGGACCAATAAAAACGCACTAGAGTTTTTCTTTTTTGATCCTCCCATATCCTTGTGAAGTCGATTAAGAAGCCAACCCAGGAATTCAGTCGGATCACCTTGCTCCTCTAACCTAAATTTTCCCGTACTGGCACGACCAACCTCCTGCAAGAACTCGTGTGGACTGACTTGATTTTTGAAAAGCCGTGGATTCCACAGCTTCTTTGCTAACCCAGCGAATCGTTTCAGGAGCTCGCTTTCCTTCCCGCCGAAGGCAGAAAGAAGCAGGTAGTCGCGTAATGGTGGTATGTGCGTTAAAGCAAGGATAATGACGTTCATGTGATCATGCCGTTTGATGTTATTCAGTCCAACGTATCCAGGAAGGTATGGTTTATTTGAGAGGTCGTAGGATAGCTTTGTCAAATGGGACGGGGATGATAGCGATGCAATTGACTGAGGAGTAAAAGATGGAGCCAAAACAAACGATATGTCCTCTAGAGAAGGATCGGAAACTATGTATCCGTCCGGAAGAACGTAAACCTGTAGCAGTTAAGCTTAAGTAGGCGAATGCCTATTGTGGCTTGACACACCTTCTTGGTATCCAAGTTTATGAAGACATGATGATCGTCGTGTATCGAATGGGCGTAAGCGTAGGAGTTTCGGCCTCTTCCTTGGAAGTACTTCCCGCAAACAAGACAACCGTAGATGTTTATGTTTGACAAGCAAACAGAGCATACTTTCTCAAAGTCGAAATCGAGGGCTGCACGGTTTACCTGTGACGAAATATATCAATATGGTATTTACGACAAATATGCTTTGACGGACCGTGTCGAGGTACATGTCAGACGTGTGTGTGGGTTCGCCAGAGTTCTTAGAGTCTTCGTCGTAGACGTCTTCATTCAGTCCATCCTCTCCGTGTTCCGGTTGTAAAGGTTCCTCCACACTCTGCTCTACCTTCTGTCCGTCTTCAGAAGACTCTATACTCAGTCTCGCTTTCTTCACGGGTCGGGCCAATGAAGCATCCGAACCCTGTTTCTTTGATCTTGTTTTCGCCATCTGTATTGAATAGCGAGCAGTTTAAGAGAAGCTTGGGAAATTTGAGGGTGCGTTAGGTGAGGATTTGAGGCGCGAGATCTCTGCGTGAACTTGAAGGGACGCGTCCAGCAAGTCACGTTCTCAGCGCTTCTTCTCGGTCCCGCGCAACACAACGGAAGCTGAAAGGATTTCACTACTGAGAGACGCTCGTTCGTTCACCACCGTCCAAGCATGCTAAGTGGTCAATGCCGAGTCGCTACGCGCCTATGCTGTCGGAGATCCGCATTCAACGCTGCTAAACTATCTTCGTCTCCGAGACTATCCTCTCACGGGCCTAACGCACCTCTGGAGCTTGATCCTTCCTTACAAGACTTGCTGCGAGATGCGGACATGGCATTGCTCAAGCACAAACCCTCGGAACCGGCTAAAAATGGGTCTTCTTCCGCAAAAGAACTGGAGATTCTTGAGTTTGACGAGTCATCTACCGAACGAACGGAAGACGGAGAAAATGACATAGTAACTCCAAAGGAAAGAAAATCTGCTAGGGCTGCATTTGGGAGCAGAGGTATTGGCTCTGTTTTCCTGCCCATGGAGCTCCGAGAAGCTATCGAAAAGGTCATCGGCGGTCAGTCATCGTCCGCTTGTTCCGTGCAACGAATTAATTGACTGGCTGTTAGGGGGCGACAAGCCGCGGCTCCATGAAGATGCAAAGCGTCTATTCCGCGAAGACGGAGATAATGGCGGCGACTTATGGCATACAAACTATCAAACGGACTACAAGTCTTGGAAACAGACACAACGCCATGAAGAGAGAGACGGTACTGCTTTTGCATCAGTCGCATTACCAGCGCATTACTCTGCTGTTTACGCCGTTTTCGACCACATTAAACACAGACTGGGAGATGATTGGAAGGTACGGAACATAATAGATTGGGGTTCTGGAGTTGGTAGTGGGCTATGGTATGCCTTATTATATTTAACCAGGTCTGGGCCAGGACCTAACTTCTGCTCAGGGCTAGTATGCATGCATTTCAGGAAGGTTCAGAAGAGCAAGACGGGAACACTGCTCTTGAACCATCACTATCCCGGTCAATTATAACGTCATACCTAGGTTTTGAAAAGCGCAAGGGGCTCTCCAACATGGCTAAGAGACTTATCGAAGGTTCGACGCGGCTAAAATCCATGCCGTCTTGAGCTGACTCTTCCTTCCTTGGTCAGATTCTAATGTGGGCTCGGCCAGTGTCCGGTGGCACAAGGCATACAGTAAGGACGAGCAAATTCAACGTTCCGAAGGAGGCGATGTTTTGGCTCTTTCCGCCTTCCATCTCTCTTCGCTTCCGACTCCCGCAGCTAGGAAAGAGATGGTAAAACAAATGTGGTCCAGTGGAGCGGAGGTAATTGTAAGCAAGACCCTCTAGCTTTGAAGAGAATACCTCCAATGGTTAAACTTCTGTAATGATTAGGTTCTTATCGACCATGATACCTCTACTGGGTTCACAAGCATCATTGAAGCAAGAGACCAGCTCTTGCGCATGGGAAAACGAGAATTGCAAGACTCCGAGATCCAAGGCGATCCGATGACTGGATGTCATGTCGTTGCACCGGTGAGTCCAGATGAGAGGTGGCTATGACTTGTACTGATGATACCTCATCCCGTGGTAGTGCCCCCATGATGGCGCCTGTCCGTTGTTTAACTCCGGGAAGCCCAGTCTAAAGTGTACGTTTTCACAACGTTTGCAAAGACCGGCATTTTTGCGCAAGACGAAGCACGTAAGAGCGGGACATGAGGACATGGGATACAGTTATGTTGTCATTCGACGAGGGCAGAGACCGTCAAAACCTCGGATCGGGGAAACAAGTGACACTTCTGGACAGAACATTGCCACTGATGCAGAATCCGCATCGAGCATTCGCCTTGAAGCTTACGACTGGCCGCGAATGGTATTCCCACCCCTTAAACGGAGCGGACATGTCATCATCGATGGCTGCACCGCTGAAGGTGCGCTGATTTCATTTCACCAGGTGCAGCTTCTCATTCTATTGTAGGCAAGATAATGAGAATGACCATCCCTCGGTCTCAAGGAAAACAACCGTATTACGACGCCCGCAAGTCTTCGTGGGGTGATATTTTCCCTCACAAACCAAAGAATCCCCCTCAAATACGTTATGAACCTAATGACAGTACAACAGATCCGTCCTCATTGCCTGGGTCGGACATTGGAAAACGGCGAGTAAAGGAGAAGAAACAGGACCCTACGAGCTACGAAAAAATTTACGCCGATTTGAGGGAAATCCAAAAAAGTAGACAAAAAATGTGGGATAGGCTTTTCGTTGCTATTGAGGAGGAAGTTTAGAGTAGCTTTCTAAACACTGTACCTCATTGTATTGACAACTGACTTTACGACTTCAAGTGCTTTTGACCGGTAATCACACCACTCCATCTACATTAATCATTAATAGCATTTGAAGACCTAGCCCGCACCTCTATTGCTACCGTTCTATTAACATCTTAAGCATCGGAAATTTGTATTCCGGGGCCCTGTGTCGAACTCAGTACTACACGCGTAATTGCATTTACTTTGGCATCATTAGTTATTGTTTTCAGAGAAGGCGCTGGACAAAAGATGTCACGCACCGGGCTTGGGACCAGCCTTTGACTGACGGGTGGCTGCGTCAACGGTGTTTCCCGTTGACGCTTTTACGACGCTGAGAAAATGACGTGCATTTCGTACAACGTCTTCGATCGGGAAGTCCATCTGATTGCACGTCAAAAGGTGATCATAAACTATGTTTTGACATGGGGATCACACCTTAGCTATGGCTCCACGAATGGTACCTGCTTTGTCACCCCTCCACTCGCTCGAACCCGAGATTCGTCGTAGGTAACCCACAACGTCCTCGGTCACAGTCCCTCGGCGTTCTGATGGCATCAATCCCCTTGGGCCCAAAACCCGACCAAGCTTCGGGGTGATTGCGCGGATGAGTGACGGTGTACAGAGGAACAAGGTCGCTGGATAACGTCCGTTTGCCACCTAATCGGAAGCTCGGTGTCATCTGACAGAATAACCTATGTGATAGGAAACCCTTACCCCTTCAACAAGCTCCGTCCCCCCAACGAAGTCGGCGCCTGCTCGTTTTGCTTCGTCTGCCTGACGTCCTTCAGCAAATACGAACACGCGATCCCTTGTCCTTGCCTTGACCTCTCGCGGAAGATTTATTCTCCCCTTCGGAATAGCGGAGCCGCGCTTCATTGCGGTCTTTACGACGAGCTCAAAGGTTGAGTTTGGTCTGGCAACTTCGACGGCCTTCAGAGTAGATAGCTTAGCCGCATGCCATAATTGGATGTCGAGAGCAACAGTACATACCCGTAAAATATTAACAGCATCTGCGAGCGGCATTTTCTCGTTCTCATAAATGTTTTTCCGAGACTTGAGAGCTTTCTTTCTTTCCCTTGCAGCTAGTTTAGCCTTCGTCGGAGCCGGTCGAGGCTTGTCTTTGCGAAGGTATGTTGGCCTTGAAGAGGTGAAATGCCTAGCGAGTGCACTGGCACCCGGCATGGTATGTCGCATTGGACATATGAGGCAATTGAGTGTTGACCGACAGGGTCTTGTAGGGAAAACGAGCGATGGGAGCATGATGGACACGCGAAGTACGGTACGTGCTCAATGGCCGTCTGAACGCGACAAGACAGAAAATACCCTGTGGCTATGCTGACATTTCTCTCATCCAAAAGCGGATGATCGTCGCTTGTACCCGAGGGCTTCGATCAAAGCTGGCGTCCTGTTGACAGTAATAGCCTTAGTCTTATACATTTTGTGCGGTGTATACGCACTCTTACTTGCGCCTATGCTTAATAGTCTCCGAGACAGACAGACAGACAGACAGACAGACGGCACTTGCGTCATTCTTCTATCTCAAACAGAGAGCTGTCAGCAACAAATGCTACCATTGTACCACCTCTGAGGCTCTGATCCGTGAGCATGCCACTTCTGAAAGGCATAGCCCTCAGTAGAAAAGTCTATCATAATGGCAGTTCAAACTGAAGTGTGAGAAGAATTTACACGTATTCAGCAACCAAAGAAACGAAGAGTACTTTCAATGAATTCTTTCTCTTCTTTTAACTTACGTCACGCACGAGTGTTTGCAACTTTCTGTTTGATATAGGTGTCTAATCCAGAAAATTCAATTGCACGAGTCTACAAACGCATATGCTGTTTCTATAGTCCTCAAACTACCGAAGACAATGCTGTGGCGCGGCGTAGCTAATAACCACGAAGAACTGTCAGAGCCTGTGCTGCAGCGCGTTCCTTCGCCTCCGCCTTATGAGATGCACACGCTTCCCCAACAGGACTGCCGTTATCTAACACATGAACAAAAAGTAAGTAAATAGTCACTCTCCCACGGATCGACGTACATTTGCATGTCACAGACCATGTGCGGTGGTTTTGAGGACCGTGTGGAACTTCTACCCAAGAAATAAGATGTGCCTGTCTTCTTCCTTGAAGAACTTCATGAAGGTTAGTAAAAGAGACAATTCTCGAGACTTGCAAAGATGTGCATACAGTTGTTGAGCTGAATAGTGGACTCTAAAAGACGTTGTGAGCAAGAGGACAACAATGGCGATTAGACAAGATAGAATACGAACGTATGTTCTGGGACATGTTTTCAGAGGATCTGAGCGACTGAACTATGGGTGGTTGACTGCCATTCAGTTCTCAAAGAAGCGAGCTTTTATTCTCCATTCATTGCCGTATCAGACGGCGTTTGAGCAGACCGCATTGGCATCCAGTTTCGGGGTGCAACATAATGGCCCGCAAAAACGGAGAGCGACCGGGCATCCAGAACGCTAGCAGGACAAATGAAAGTATACTTCGGCACAACATTTGTCAAGTCTGAAGACGGCTATACGGCATTATTAAATGTTCAAAACAGACGAAAGCGCACCAGGAGAGGCAATTAGTGGAGCAAAGGAGATCAAATGCAACGTGGTTGTCAGTCAGAAACAGTCCGTTTAGAGTTGTGAATATATCACAGGGACAGAGGCTGTCAGGGACAAGCGATTGGTATTCTACCTCTTGAGATCGCCGGTCGACTTATTCACAAGTCAGCGCCAAATTTGGGCCCGACGCAACGTTAGTACTTATCGTCTATCCAGACAGAGCGGCTGCTCAGTTCGCCGAAGTGGTAAATTCTAAAGCATAATGCCTATGCGACCAGAGCAGCTCCGGTGGCATAAGACTAGGTTAGCACGCCTGATATGACCCTCGATCATTAGCTAGTAAAAAAAAGCGTCGATGAAGTCGGATGAAGACACAAGCAGACATTGGTCACAAGATCCAGCACAGCAGTAGATCCTGAGTTCGAACTGATGTTGTTGCCACGGCCCATGCGGTCAATGTTAGAGCGCCCATTTGACAGGCCGAGACACCTTCATGAAAAAATAAAAAGGAAAGACCTAGAGACCAACGTCTTTGCGTAAGCCGCCTTCGTCTCGGAACAGGTGAGAAAACTCAGGGAAATTGACAGAGAACACGGTTGGCCGTGATAAGATCTGATCGTAGGTTTCTGCATTTCATGCGGCCGGCGCATCCACCTGCAGTTGACGTTCCGTGCATCAAGATCGAAATTGGACGTCGTCGACTAGTTACAAGTAGTCTGGCTGTGCTGAGATTGCAAGTGCCTGTAGGACCCGTGTGTGATCGACGCTCCCCCCCTGCACATAATGCCACATGATATACTGGTGATGCGTATAAAAGAGTTGTTCTTCCATACAGGTGCCATGAAATTCGTCCGAGGAGTTGTTTTATCCAGTATATCTGTAGACAGTGTCACCACCTAACAGAACATTATTTTCGTCTTCCAAGTCACTGGATGTCGCTGAAGACACTTACTGATCGGGAACTGGCCAAGGACAGGGGGCCGATGGGAAACACGACACAGCCGAGGGAGCGAACGAGCTACAATCGACATTTATCCCAATAAGACATGCAGAGCGTTAATGCATCGTACCTGAACGACATATCATACGCGACGGACCACCGCTGTTATAGGTTGCCGACGATAAATTGCCCCAGGAGTAGACGCATCAGGACCGAGAAAGATTCCGTCAAAATAGTCATACGGCAAGCAGATTCCTGTGTTGGTATAAATGTACAAGCAAAAGAAAGTACTAAGCAGACGGCAAACGAACATCGAATTCCATTGGCAAAGGCTAAACCAAATATGGCAATGTTAAAGGAGTGCCATTGTGTATTTAGGGCCGGTATGTCGGAATCTAAACGATCAGCTTGGACTTTGGTACAGCAGAGAAGATGTGATTAGCTCGATGACATTGTTAGGACCAGCTTTCGTTCAATTCATTATGAAATTTATGCATTACGACCGTGTATTTTGACTGAGAACTCTAGTTTTGGTCTGAGCAGTTGTTCATGCATTATGATTTGATTCAAATGAAATATTTTTCACTCCGCGGGGATGTGAATCGACGAATCGACGATTACCATATTTGTGCGCTCTTCGAAATTTGAGGCCACCGCTGGCGCAAACAAGTATCAATTGTAATAATTAAATACTAGCAAAATCGCAGATATATAACCTCTTGCTTAATATCTGTCCTTGATCGAAGAATAAATGCATAGGCAAACTCAGCAAATAGTGTAATACAAATACAAAATAATTCCGCTGTGGTGAAAATTTGATCGCTACAGCAACGTCAAATTGTGTGGCAAGATCCCAATAAACATAAGGTAACATGTCAACATACAGAGAGTTACCTAATATGATGAGGATTTTAATATTATAATGTAACTCACGGATCTTTCTTGGGCCTGACGAAATTGTTAAGTGCTTCATGTCGCTGCCCTGTACGAGGTCATTCCACTCTCACAGTCCCTCCCGGAAATAAAAGGAGGTCTAATGAATCAAGGGCGCATTATTTGCCGCGAGAGTTTTGTCGTTGTCTTTCCCTTTCTTTCCTATTAGACATGGAAACCCAACATTTGACAGTCGGATTGCATTATACTGTCATGGACATTACTACTATTTCAGCACGAGCACATGCATTTCTTAACAATCAAGTATACATTTCAAGACAGCACTATTTACAACTGAGAGAGGGCGTTGGGTTTGTTTGTTTATCTACATGCTGCAGACTCCACAACAAGTTCTGAAAACAACTCCTAGCCCGAGAGTTCAGCATGCCTTGCTGGGCAGATACTTTTCATTGCCTGCTCAGAGGCTATTTCGACGGAATCTTGTTTACCTTTCGCTCGACCAGTACCAGCAATTGTGCCATTGTCTAATAAATGTTTATCTGGGAGGGAACGAGTGCAAAAAGATGTACTTACATGTGATAGTAGTAACCCAAATGCCATTGTTATGAGGACCAGTGAGTTCGGAGTTGACACTGAACAGATTCTGTGTGCCCTTGGCTTGCAGAAGATTGTTGAGTTGCATCCTCCATTCGGTCATTTTGTGTTACGGCTGTCTAAGACGGATTAGAATAGTAGTCGGTGCTAAGATGAAGCAAGAAGAGCTGCACCGAAAGATTAAATGCTAAGTTGAGTGATGCGCTTTTTCGAGTGTCGAGAAACTAGTATCGAAGGGTTGGTTGTTTTGCTACAACTCCAGCTTGACTCTGGTTCGCTTTTATGTTGCAGTCTGGCGTTTATCCATCCACCACATTTCAGCAGACCACAGCGCTAGTTGACCCCGATCGCGAACTCATACGCATTCGGAAGAAAGACCGTACCGCAAAGTCGAGTGCTCCAGTCGGGAACTACAAATCTTTGGCCAGGGTTTGCGGGTTAACGTCGAAGCGCTCCTCAAGTCGGCGAATGGGGGGGGGGCAATGTTGTAAATATTGTGGCGGTTTTTGCTAAAAGAGCTGCAATAGAATCGGAAGAACAACAGATCTCGGCAGATTGAAGCTATAATTTGGAGAACCGCATCGAATCCACCCTACCTAAGGAGCCAAATAAAGAAGTTGATACGCCTATCTTTGTTGCATATTTCGAGCTATGAGCCGGGGAACTCGTAATTACCTTCGCCCAACCTCCCCCCACTCTCTAGAACCGGCGCCAGACTCCACGGGGAAAACGAAAAAAATTGACAGACATCGGGAAGGAAGTTTGCTCAAGTATGGAGCACATGAGTACTTCCCAGAAGAAGTCATGTATATGCGATCAACCGCAGGGCATAGCTCATAGCTTTGATAGATGTAGTGAGCAAAGTCAAATTCCAGTGAAAAAGGAGCAGAACAGATAATGAAAAAGTTAAAACAGATCCAGGTTCGAGTCGCGAGAAATAATCTGTAAAAGATTCCGAATTAATCACGAATGATGGTTCAAAACCAGGGAGAACAAAGGTCTGGCAACATCCTAATGCCCATCGAGGGGAGGTGTGTCGGAGCTCTTGAGTCTGCATTCGGTCTGAGGAGCTACAATCATGTGGTCAAGGAGCAAGTGTTGGTTACAGGGAACACACGTCCGGGATTTTCCTTTGGCAGACGATCTCAGCGAAAATTAAAAAGAACCGAGATTACTGAAGGGCGCTAAAAGGAACACTGGAACTTCCAGGACACGGTCTTCAGATAGTAGAGCGCCGGTCAGTGGCCATTTTACCCTTCTTTTTTTACTCCCTCCCCGGTGAATTTCGCGCTCTGCCACTGATCATCAGGAGTCAGTTATGAGTCGCCACACTCATCGTCATACATACGTTACGCCGTAATCGCGCATTATGCAGTGTGTAACAGACGCCCATTTCGTTCCCCAAGAGCCAAGAGTTTAGTAGGTGGACATTGAGGCTATTGCCAAACTGTGCAATCGGCTGGCATCATGAGGACATACTACAAGCATCAGTCCCTCAAACACATAGGCATGAATGAGATCGCGCAGTATGAAAGAGGGGGAGGGCGGCGTACATCGGAATTACGTTCATACTGCAGAGTCGCCGCGAATCGACAAGAACGAACTGCCGCGAGGCATCATAGAGAATGGTTTCCCGATGTATTCGAGGACGGCGAGACATGCATAAGATCATAGGAGATGAGTCTTCCTTACACAATGCTATTGCACAATTTCTAGCCTCGGACCGGAGGCAGTTAGGGTGGCTGGTCGTCTCCGTATCCACAAGAAGAGCATCAAGGAAATCAGCAGTTGAGCAAACAGGTGCTCCGGAGTTGCAGTCAAGAAAGTCCCGGTATCTGAAGAAGGACTGAAGCTGTAGCTAAGGGACTAGATGCGCACAGAATGCTGTAACGGAAAAGATACCTTAGGCACTTATTGTTGGATGGAGTGACACTGGAGTTAAAAATTAGACAGCCTCCCCCCTCACTCCCCGGCTTGGGGGACTGAAAAATACCATAAGTATCTTAGTGACTGAGCGACTCGATACTGAGATATCTACTTCGTAAAGGAATTTGTCGATTAAAATAGCTTTCGCGACAGTTTTGCTGTGGTGTACTAGGGATCACACATAAGAGCCAGTGAGAAAAATGGACGGACCCTTTTTGGAAGTTTCCGGCGTGCGACAAGCCTGCCAGATTGGGCATGCCTTGTGAGATTCGGTTCGTCGCGCATCAACGACGGCCAAGTACAAGTCTCCCCATCACCATCGTCAGCGTTGAGGGCCGCCTACTCCATCGGCGTCGTCTAGCGGTCTCTTCCTCGACGCAGCGCTGCGTTTCCGCTTCTTTTTGGTCTTTTTCGTCAGCGACCCCCTATCACTTCGTCACTTTCTCACCCATTGCCCCGGAAGAAAACATACGCCTGCTTCTCGCCCAGCACACCTAACCACTCATCAGGCGAGCCCTCTTCTTCCTGTTCTTTTTCTTCTCAACGCGTGCTGAGCCTTGCCTTCTTGCTCTAGGATCTCGCTAACAGCCTTCTGGTGAACATCGAAAATGTCCCAGCAACAAGATATCCAGGAACGCATCGCCGCCGCCCGTCGCGAGGCTGAAAGTCTCAAGGAGAAGATTAGGGCAAAGAAGGAATCATCGGCAGATACGAGCTGTGAGTTCTATGCTACCTTGGCTGGTCGATGCAGGGTTGGCTCACATCTTTTTACCATCAAGTGCGTGCAATGGCGGCAGAAGTTGAAGCCCTGCCTCGTATCGTCATGCGCCCACGTCGGGCACTGAAGGGCCATTTGGCAAAGATTTACGCCATGCACTGGGCTGCCGATCGCCGTCACCTTGTCTCGGCTTCGCAGGATGGCAAGCTTATCGTGTGGGATGCGTACACTACTAACAAAGTCCATGCTATTCCTTTGAGATCGAGCTGGGTGATGACGTGTGCCTACTCCCCGTCGGGCAATTTTGTCGCTTGTGGTGGCCTGGACAACATTTGCTCGATTTACAATCTGCAGTCAAAAGACGCAGGCCCCATGAAAGGCGCCCGTGAACTCAGCGCTCACTCTGGGTATTTGAGCTGCTGCCGTTTCATCAGCGACCGACAAATCGTCACGAGTTCTGGTGACATGACATGCATGCTGTGGGACATCGAAGCTGGTGTTCGTATCCTTGAATTTAGTGATCATACTGGGGACGTCATGAGGTAAGCATTTCGTATTTATATGTATTATGGGTAAATTTGATGCCGTCCCTTCTAGTCTGTCCCTAGGGCCCAGTCAAAATGTTTTCGTGTCCGGCGCTTGCGATGCCACTGCAAAGCTGTGGGACATCCGCAGCGGGAAAGCAACGCAGACTTTCTCCGGACATGAATCGGATATCAACGCGGTAACGTGCGTACACCTGCCCTTATTGGATTTTTTCTGTTTATTGATAAGCTACCGTGTAGTTTCTTCCCGAATGGTGATGCATTTGCGACCGGTTCGGACGATGCATCCTGCCGCCTCTTTGACATTCGGGCGGATAGGGAACTCAACACTTTCACACACGACAACATTCTTTGCGGCATCACCTCTGTCGCTTTCTCAATTTCTGGTCGTATCCTATTCGGTGGTTATGACGATTGGACGTGCAATGTGTGGGACACGCTCAAGGGAGAACGTGTCGGAGTCCTCACTGGCCATGAAAACCGAGTAAGCTGCTTGGGAGTGAGTAGTGACGGCATGGCACTTTGCACTGGAAGCTGGGACAGTACACTGAGGGTCAGTGGATTTTTTTGTGGTTCTTGAAAGGGGTGCCAGGATTGACATTTTCATTTTAGGTCTGGGCTTAGTTGAGGACACTGATTCAAAGCTGGTGCTTTCATGGCGCGTATTCCCTGTTGTCGCCTTCGAACTCGTTGCACATTCCACCACTCTCCTTAACATACCTTTTGCGTTGCTGTCGTCTGTACCTGATGTCTATTATTTCTCCCTCGTTTCGTTTGCTTCTCTTTTATTTTTCTGCGGTTTGCTTCGCTTTCATTATGTTTCGTCTCTTATCATAAAGTATATATTAACTTGAAAGTATGCTCTACACGGAGAGTCGGAACATAGCTTGCCTTTTTTCCATCGGAGCAGACAACACGTCGCCACGTGCGTCGTCGCGTCTCAAAGCACGACGTGTACATAGATAGTGCATGTTACTGCTCACATCAATCAACAACTTAAACAAGTACTCAGTTACCTACCTTCGCCCAGTTAGACATTGATTCATCTCGTCTCAGATACACTTCCTGAGATGGCGGATGACGACAGGAAGGCCAAAGCTGCTAGAGCGAAGGCGATGGTATGTCCTAGAGACGGCATCTCCTTCACACACACTATGTCGTCGAAACTAAAGTCTTGCATAGCTGAAGAAGCGCCAGCAACAAAACAAGAACGGCGCTGTTCCTTCAAGTTCTGGAACGCATTCTCCAAGTGCTTCCATCTCTCGAACGTCGACACCAGCACCTCCAGAATCAAGCGTTGAAGTGAAGTCACCGTACGTCTAGCTCATGCAATTCATTTGTTGGAATGTACATGAACGAAAAAGACTACCTTTATAGAATATCACTGTCGTCTGTCCACGATGCCGCCATACTTTTTGCCAAGTCGGAAGCTGTCGAGGCGCTGTTGTCACAAACCGCTAGCTCTAGGCAAAGTCACCCTGATGAAGACAAGAATGCTAGGCTACTCCAGGACCAGCGACAGACAATATCTCTGCTTGTTTCCGAAAAGGCGGCTCTTGCTGAAGCCGTCGAACGCTTGGAAGGTGTTGATTCAAGTGTGTCGACCATGTTACTGTCCACTACGCATACTAATCCTGATGCTCTCTTTTATAGAATTGCAAAGTAAGGAGATCGAATTAGCGGAAAGTACACGAGAATTAGAAGGACTGCGAAGTGAACTATCACAATTCGAAAGGGAAAGAAATTCATACGTTGCTCAAGTACAAGAAATTGGGGCTCGGAATGCAAGCCTAATGACTAAACTACGTGAACAAGTAAATTTCATGCCATAGCCTTATTCTTCGTGGCAATTTTACGAATGTCTGTTTTCAAGGAACGAGATTTACATTCCACCCGGAGTGAAGCTGATGGTTTGAGGTCACAGCTGAAGGAAAGCGAGCGCAAAACGCGAGAACTTGAGGAACAGATTCAAAACGACGATCGTGTGGAAGTGCTTGAAACGAAGATCAGGAATACACAAGACCGTGCAGAAGAAGTGGCATTCCAGCTATCCAGGTTGAAGCAGGTAAGAAACTTAGTCTGGGCATCCGAATCTAAACTAACGAACTATGTGATAGGCTTACGACAAGCTCAAATCTGAATATGAAGAGTTGCAACATGAATTGCAGAGACACTCCACGACGGAGCAAGAACTTAATACCCGGATTGCTGACCTTGAAGGGAAACTTCGTTCTTCTGAGGAGAAGCTGGCCGCACTCTCAACTGAATGCGATTCACTCGTTTCTGCAAATGCTACCACTTCCGCTGAACTCCAAGCAAGCCAGGCTTCCAATGAAGGACTTAATAGCAAACTATCTCAAGTATCTGCAGACCTCGTTGCAGCCATGCGTCAGATGGATGGCTCTCAGGCAGAGTTACGATCAGCTCTAAGACGTGCGGAAGACGCTGAGGCAGCGCAACGCGATCTACAGGAGGAAGGAACGGGTCTAATACGCTCACTCGAGGAGATGCGTCCCAAAATCGTAGAACTAACCAGCACGAAGCTAGAACTAACAGAGCAACTCGAGCAACTCACAACATCTTTGAACCAGAGGGACAACGCGATAGCAGAACTTGAAGCTCAGCTGGAGAGTCTCAGAACGTCATCGGAAGAAGCACATCGAGAGCGCGAGAAACTGGAGAAAGAAAAAGAGAGGGAAAAGAGTTCTGCTGAAACTGGCCAGGTAGAATTGCAAAAGGCGTATAACGAACTGCAGGCTCGGTTCGATGATGCCTTGGTCGCCACCAGAGAGATCGAAGCGGATAGAGGAAAGCAGAGGCAAGCGGCGGTACGACTACAAGAAGAGGTAGATCGTCTTCGTTCTGTCGGGCAGGTTACCCAAGAGGAGATCGATTTGTTACGTTCTCAACTGGATGAACAAGAGAAGGCGAACGATGATGAGAGTAGGCTGCTAGAGGAACTACAACAAGAGGTCGAGGCTCTTCGAGCGGATGCCACAGCGAAGGAAGAGGAGTTATCCTTCCTACGACAGGGTGGTCAACCATCCTCTTCGCCGTTGCAGTCATCGCAGAGCCTGGACGACGAAGTAAAGGGTGCAGTAACTCAACAGCTCGAGCTCGAGTTGTCCAGTGCGAAATCGACGATTCGAGGTCTGGAATCATCTTTATTTGACTCGGAAGCGAAATACCTCGCGTTACAGAAACATGTCGGAACGATTGAAGATGAACTGTCGCATTTACGAGTTACTGCGGCGACTTCTCACAGGCCTGCGCAAGTCACTCGAGGTTCTACCTCTGGTGGGCGACATTCGGACGATCTTCGTCGAACTTCCTTTACATCTCAACGGTCCAATAGTACACCCCGTCTGGCACCAATGGCAGTCATTGATGAAGGATTGCCACCGGTAACACGCCGTCAGCGGCACATTAGCCTCGCTATGTTACAGGCACGGATGTATAGTGAGGCAGAAGCGGCAAGTATCCACGCCGCAGCGTCCAAAGCGCCACAGTCGGCCGCCGTCGGACACGGACACGAACACAAGCACTCAATTGCGAGTAGCATGGACAGCAGCGTGTTATCATTGCGCTGGCCTCAGTTCCTCGATGAATCACACGTGTTTTGGTGTGCATCGTGTAAAGGTGATTTAATTGTGCTATAGTATTACTTTCGAAGGGAATTATTTACTTTGCATACCGTATTTTACTTGTCCGCTCCTCTCACCTCCCTTCTCCGCTTCTCACCGTTTCTCACCTCCTTCCCGCTTATAATTTACAATTTCAGACAGACCAATTACAACGAACTACAAGAGCAGGTTCAAGCGTAACGACGATTGTAAGAAGCGTGTACTGAGTCGTGATTGTTCGTAAGAGACTTCCTCATGAAAGCTCGTCCCTTCTAGCCTTGAGCTTGGTCAATTGAACAAGAAGGTCCTGAATGAAATACACTGCTATCAGCATGCCGAAATACTAAATCAAAGTAAAGGAAAAACGGACTTTAGCTTCATCCGCGTTCAATGTCCCTTTGCCCTCATCTTCACGGACGCTCATCTCGAGGCTGTCAAGGACCTCGCCAAACAGGTCGCGATAAGAGACACCGAAGAAATGGCTCAGCTTAGCAGCGCGGCGTCTCCGAACCTCGAAGGGCGTTACTTCTGTTTTGACCTCGGAGATTGTGTATTCTGACGCCAAGGAGGTATAGGATGCGCGCAGAGGCAACGAACGGCGACGTTCAGATAGAATGGAGCTGCCGGAATGACTCTCCCGCCTATCTCGGTTCCCCATTGAGAGATCCTCGTTAATGTATTCGTGAAGCTCGACCAACGACTTTCTGTCATCCTGTGAAAGCAACAACATAAGTATCAACACGTAAATCAATCGGACTGTGACGGGTGTTGTTTAGTAGATAACGTACATTATCAACGATGTTCGTCAACGAAACCAGTGAATTCCTGTAATGATAGTATACATCGGACTGTCCATCTTGAATCGATTCGGTCTCTCCTGAACTTAGCAATCGTTTCGATGACTCTGCGGTTCCTGGCCTGTTGCTCCGCTTTGCTTTGTCCTTTCGATAGGCTGACCTATTCATGTTTCCGCCACCGCCGACAGGCGAGGAAGGTGCAGACCTAGCGGCAATCTTTGTCTGCATCATGTGCTTCCCAACGGCACGATTCGCGGGCCGAGTTTGGGCAGAGTGGAAAAGGTCCTGTGGTGGCTGCTCACCGAATAACTACAGCAACGATTAATGAATAAAGGCACGAAACATCGCTTATCCACAAAATTAGCTCACCTTCTCCATTTTTAGAGCCCTCTTAACGACAATGGCTTTCTCCTTTTCGCTCAACTCCTCTTTCACACGCTCTGAATCAGGTAAACGCTCGGAAGGCCTTGAGGACGCCAGACTGTTCCTGCGCTTTCCCCGCATCCAAAGTCTCGTTGCAGAAGTCGCCTCTCCGTCCGACACTGTCGCTGGATCCTGCTGTAAAAGCTCAGGAGCTATTGGGGGAAGAGGAGCACCGATGTCGGGCCCGAGGACGAGTTCCGTAGGAACACGACTACCGAGAAAGCGGTGAAGCTTTGCAAGTTTTTCACGCTTCCTTCTGCGTTCTTCTTCCGCTTGCTGTTCATCTGTCACGCTCTCGGCAAACGAATATGTCGAAGAAAAGCGAATAAGATCTAGGGGATGCCGTTATTCAGCAACCTGCATATCATGAAAGTTTTTCAAGTACGTACTAGTACTTTCACGATCGGCCATATCCATGAATGAATCTGAAGCGTTAATGATAGTCGGGCTCCTAATTGCGGTATCCCCACTTTTCTTTCGTGACGACCGCGGCGTCACAGCATCTGGGCTATCGAATGGAGACAGGGAATCATCTGAGTCATTTCCTTGACTTCGGAACCTTATGGGACTCAAAGAAGTCGTCCTTTCCGCGCTCAAAGTCGGGAACTGCGATTCGTGGAGACTCTTTGTCACAAGAGACATATTCATAGGATCAGAGACTGACATCGCCGCACGAGCATGCGCCTTTCGAGAGGGCATCACGGGAAGCAAACAGTTCGTGAGAACGGGTGAATCCACAAGGTCTTCAGCACCAGATATAGGCGATGGCGTTTGTCCAAATAATTGTGTCAACTTGCGTGTCTTGCGTACCAGTTCAGCTCGCTCCTGGGGGTTAAGATAGTTGGTCGTTGGTGGTAGTGACTCGTTTCGGCTGGAGTTAGCAGATGAAGATATCAGCAGGTGATATGGAACGAGCCCGGGAAGCTTCGGTGATGAAGAAGGGGACGGTGGTTTTGAGATCATTGGGGTTTTGGAAGGAGGCTGAACAGATCGCGAGCGGCGGAAATCAGGCTTTGGAGTCGTGGGTAGAGCGGGCTTTTGACCAGAAGCTGATCGTCCCGACAGTTCAGAAGACGACGAAAGCGGGCGACGAGGTGGAAGATTATAATCAGAGCTGTCTATGGGTTTGTTATGAATAGGGTATACTCCAACAGGACTGGCAAGCGGAGTATGCTGGGGAACAGATCGTTCGTGCTCAGCCGGTGCGTGGGCTGATGTGTCAAGATTAGACTGTTGAGACACTCCTTGATCTTCGACGGAAACCGAATCAGCTTCGCTGTAGAAAAGCGAGCTGCGATTCCCTACGCCAAGTTGATCGGGTTCCATGGGCGCAGCAACAGGCGAAGGAAGTTCGTTGTAAGCTGATGCGGGATAGATCGTGCTTGAGACACTGATGCGGGGCTCATGAATCGTAGACTGAGGGTCAATACTTGAAACAGTCGAATAGATAGACTCTCGCGAGCTGAGAGGAGCCTGAGATAACAAGGGCCACGGCCTGGATGGCAGCTGGACCGAGCTTCTCGACGCATCTGCGCTTGCAGATGTACCTGTCGAATTAAACGGCAACGGCTTATCCACGGAAGCTGTTCGCATCGTAAGCAAATTTAGGCTCTTAAGAAGGACATGCACTTACCGGAGAAGCGAGACTCAGCGCCCCAGGAGTCTCTTATTGAGCCAGCTGAGCTTCTACGCGGCGACTTCGGACCAAATTCAGCGAGATGGTTCACGAGCTTGGTAGTGTCAGCGGACGACCTTCGATACATCACTAACGACAGTACGGTGAGTTGTGACGGCTTGGGGAGGAGAAGAGTGGCATTCCTCACTATAAGCATCCATTCCATCTGTTCTTTGCGCTTCAGGAGGGACACCCTTGATAGACGAACGGCTCGAAACAGATGTGGGTGAGGCAGCACAGCCGGTTGATGAACGCCGAACGTCCGAGCTTCGGTCCTTCATGAGCTCTGAGGGTCGTCCCGACGACATCGGCGCCTGGTGGCCGCTCTGAAACCTATACGTGCGAGGGAGATGCGTCTTTCGCGGGGGCGCAGGGAGACCGCGTACTACCGAAGACGGATCACCCGTAAGCGCGACCGCGACGTCTACACTTCCAAACTTGGCTTCTCTTGCTTCCTGCTCCTGACGCTCTTGGGCCCGAGCTCGCTCGTCCTCCAAGAGAAGGGCCTCGATGTCCTTTGTGATGAGGAGACCAGATAGCCGTGAACTCTGCTTCGGGGTGGTCTGTGGAGAGACGTCGATGTCGGACCCGAGGTCTACGAAGCTGAGCGGGCGATGATAATGGGAAGAGGAATCAGGAACGTCGCGGGATGGCTCGTGGACGTTGTCAGGAGGAGAGAAGGAAGAGGAGGACTGGGTTACGTTGTCTTGGCGGTGTTTTGCCTTCCACTTGATCATGGCCAGCCAATTCTGTTAATGATGTTCCACGCAGAAAAATCCGGGCCAGGGGTAAATATATGGCAACGCCTATTTGGCCGACGGCACGGATACTGTAACGTGATCCCTCTTTTCAAAGAATCCCTCTTTTCAATTTTTGCATTTGCACACTTTACACAATACCTTACACTACCAAAAAATTCAATGAGGTATATTTGTACTATAGAAAATATATTGTGTCTTTTTTTCTGTAAAAAAATTGATGAAAAAATTAAAAAATGGTAAATACTACTTTTTCCAATGGTAGCTTCAATTGTAATTAGCTCTATTAATTTTATTAGTAGATTTTTTGTTACAATCAGGCTTCTTATGTTTTCTATACATGCATAAGTGTTCTTATTATAATTTGTGAGTAGTATGCTGATTGTTGTGAATTAAAATTGTAGAAAGATTGGTTGAGAGTGACAAAAGCGTGACAATTGTGCTAAAGTATTATAGCAACATAGTGTGTTCACAAAGCTTACACGCGTCAAATCATTGTGACAACTTGTGACAAAAATTGAAAAGAGGGATCCTCTCCCTTCCTGCCTCAAAAAAAATCGTAAAAATTTTTTTGAAAAGAGGAGCATGTTTATAATATATAGATATACATATGTACAAATTTTACAGTTAAAATAATGTGTGGTTGTGGCTGTAGAAAAAAATTGAAAAGAGGGATCATGTTACAGTACGGCTGCGAGGGACGGGCGGACGCCGCGGACGCGCCTTGACGGGACGAGGGAGGGTGGGGAAAGGAAAAGACAGGACAGACGCGTGGGTGTGGTGGACGCGTCCTTGGAAGAAGAAAAGAGTGCTGGATGGAAAAGTCGGCGAATTTTTGTACGCGAGTGGGTGAGCAACTGGGCAGCAGCAGCTCCTCTCAGTTATTCTGTCTGTCGTCAGGGCGCGCCGCGTAGCATACATCCAGGTCCGGCCAGCAACCGTATATTGCAAATCCCATTCACGCCGGCGGTCTTAGCGTTCTCCCATCATTCCGTTCTTTCCTTTTGTTCACTCTCCACCCCCATATTTCATATTCCAGACACTTTTCAGCATCCCCGTGGTGCGCCTGCCACGCGCCGACAAACTCCGGATCCTATTCAGATGGAGACGCGCAGGCGTTTCACAGAGTTTAACCTTCTGGCGAATAGGCTTACCCTCGCTAACAAGAGAGGGTGGGCGACAACGCACACTCGTCGTACAGGACAGCCAAGGCGGAGGCGAGTTGCTGTCCGTGTCGGCGCGCGTTGTCAGCCTGCAGGCACATCATTCACGCTGCTAGTCATTCTGATCTCCCACCATCGCTTTCTCCGTGAGGATCCAGTCAAGCAGTACAGACGTGGAAAGCATATCTACATAAACGTCTTAGACTAGCGATTGCAGCATCTTACCCCACACAGAATGTTTCAACTAATCAACCCCACACGCCGTAAGTTTGCAAGAGATTGATGCGAGTCATGTTTTCCAGATATTAGAGATGAGATAATCTCTTGTAGCATCTGTTTGGTCTTGTTATAGCGATGAATAATGGTTTTTTATGTTAACGATTAGATGATCTCTGTTCATTGTTTGTACAGTGTTCATGCGTGTGTTACTGTAATTAACAGGGGGGGAGAGTTTTGCAAGTTGACCACGTGCATCTTCTGAAGCTCGTGACACACGCGAAACACGTGCCCGTGACGTCGCCCACACTCACCGAAACGTTCGTCGCAGCGACGCCCAAGACCTGTCCGTGTATCTTGTTACTTTCCTACCATTGCATGCCCAGCTAGCCCTAGGAGCAACTTTGCTTACTTGCTTGCCAAACTCGGCGCATGTCTTTCAAGGCTCTCGTCTATGCCTACGTGTTAGGAGGCCTGACATTCATCCCCTTACTTATTTGTGCTGCTATTGCCTGGACTATTTACACGTCTGTGCCCGTTGGAGATCCTGATCCTTCAAAACTCGAAAGGAAGAAGCTTGCGGAGGAGTCAAAAGAGGACGAGGATGAACAGACTCATCTGACCGTCAACGACCAGCCGAAGCCACGTAAGGCATGGCTCACCGTCAGGCGTACATTCGAGGAAAAGGAACAGGACGGATCATACGTGAACATGATGCGTACATTCTTGGACTCGCGTTCTAAGGACCCGAAACGCTCACGGCCAAAGGATATGTGGTACGTCGTCCTCAAGGGCAATGTCCTTTATCTGTACGAAGACGAGTCTATGACGGAATGCGAGGCGGCGATCCAAGTTTCTATGCACGAAGTCGTGATTTATCCAGAAGGCCTTATGGATGGAGAATTATTCACAAAACGCAATGCGATTTGTTTAAAACCCTTCATCTCCCCCAAGGTCCGTAGTAAGGAACTTGCAAGTGTTACACGCGAAATGGGATTCGAGGAAGAGGACGTGAACAGGCAGGTCGCTGAACTCGATGTTAGCGAGAGGAAGAAAGAAAAGGAGCGCAAGAGGCTAGAAGAGGTTGAACGGGTGAAAGCAGAGGCAAAGAGCGAAGCGTTTGATAGGTCAACGCCTTGGTTTATTTTTGTACGCTCATGCGTGGACATGGAAGACTGGTATCTCGCGTTGGTGCATGCCGCAAACTATTCTGACAGTTCCTCAACACTTGAGCCTGTCCGTCCCGTCTTCTCACCTGCCGACATGAACTACCTCGTCTCAACACTAGACGAACAACCAGATGTCATTCCTATGCGCTGGTTGAACGCATTACTCGGACGCATATTCTTCAGTTTCTATCGCACGAAGAACCTCGAGTCTTTCATTATTGGCAGGTTGATGAAGAAGCTTTCGAAAGTCAAGATGCCGTCATTCCTGCAGAATGTATCCGTAACAGAGGTTTCAGTGGGGAATACCCCTCCATCCTTTAGCAAACCAATGCTCAAGGATCTGACCAAGGAGGGCGATGCAGCCTTAGAGATTCGCGTCATGTACAAGGGCGAGATCAGGTTGACAGTTGAAGCTACAGCAATCATCAATCTCGGCCAGCGGTTCAAGACTTACACCGTCAAGCTGGTACTGGCAGTTGTCCTTCGGAGACTCGACGGTAATCTATTGATAAAAGTAAAGCGTCCACCGACGAATCGAATATGGTATGCTTTTACGCAGCCGCCAGATATGGATCTGGACGTCGAGCCTGTTGTGAGTGACAGACAGATCAAGTGGGGGATGATCTGTAGCACTATTGAGTCGAAACTCAAGGAAATCGTGAGCATCCTGCAGATTACTTTTCACGTCCATTCTAGTTGCTTAACTTTCCCTTTCTTAGATTAATGAATCCATTGTCATGCCAAACATGGATGACATCGCATTCTTCGAGTCGTCTCAATATATGCATCGCGGTGGTATCTGGGCTGATGCTAGCCGCAAAACAGAATCTGAGCCGGATGTTTCCGGAGAGCCAGAGAAACAGAACGTAACAACTATCGATGTCAATGGTGACGTGCCCATGAAGTCACAATCTACAGACGTCCTTCTAGAAACACACCCTAATGTACCAGCTGATTCGGTGACAGAGGTGGACTCTGATCGCGTAGAGACTGCATCCGCACCAACTCTATTACAGGATCCACCGAAACGACGTTCATGGTTCGGGAGCATTTCAGGAACCACTACTCTAGAAGAAGAGGACGAAAGTGCCAAATCAAATCAGATCGAACAACTTCCCGCTTCTGATGATGACGACCGAGGAAGATCGCTCAATGTCGATACAACTCTTAGAAGGGCAACGTCTGTACCGGCATCTAAAAGTTCACCTTTAGAAGAGTCGGATGTGGCGCAAGAAGCTGCACAAAGTGGATCGACACTTACACCCGAGGCTTCGCAAGATAGCTCTTCTACGCACTCTCGGTCCCGGTCGCTGTCATCCGGAGCGAATGTACTGGGTTCTGAACAGGCGAACTCATCTAGGGAATCATTGAATACACGTGGGACAAATGCGACTTCGTTCCTTTCAACGCTCAGGCAGAAAGCAGATAAGCAGGCGATTAGCAATACTGCGAAGGAAGCTATGCGGAAATGGAGCGCAAACTGGAATGGGTTCAAGCGTGAACACATGAGTGGACAGAGCAATAGTAACGCTGAGGAGAACATCGATGGTGCTTCGCAAAGTAGCGGCAGTAGCTCGATCTTCTCATTCCCTACCAAGGGCCGCAATTACGCAGACATTCGTGCTGCTGTATCTGGGCGGAAGGAGAATGCAATCCCTGAAGCGGCGCGTGAAGGGAGCTCGTCCTCGTTACCCATCGACATTCCTAACAAGAATGATGGCGAAGAGTCTGAAAATGCGGCTGGAAGCTCGTCTTCGTCATCTAACAACGAATCCAAACTCTCGGCATCGGTTTCGCCTCAGTCTTCTCCTAAAGCTCCGTCTTTACTTCGCAAAGAAGCAACTCGCGCGACTATCTCTCCTCCTAGAGTTACGGCAGACACTCACACTGCTGACAATACGACACCAGCCATTGTAACTCCAACCGAGCCAGTCGTGGTACCTCCTCCTATCAAGACGCAGCCCTCACAAGGTGCTATGATGACCATCCCTGGCATTCACGCCAGTCATCGTGGTGATATTCAGTCTTACGGATATACACCACCTGCACTACCTTCTCCTGCGTCAACAGAAGGCAAACCACGCACTCAAGCGGTCCCTCCGGCGATCCAGAGTGTGTACAGGCTATTTAGGAGCCCGACTTCGAATTCTTCTATTCTTCAGCAGCAGCAGGAACAAGTGGGGGTCACGCAGGCATCGCCCAGCTTATCGCATTCACCGTCAGGCAGGTCCGACCGTTCTATGAACATCCCAGCCGCACCAGACGCGAACGACGACGTTACTCCTCTTTCCCTTACACCGGTCGCACCAACCAGCCCAGGTGAAAGGACACCCGTATCAAGTAGTAGACCTACTCCGCCACCACTCCCACCACGTTCAGTCCCTTCGCCGCGTCCTACTTCGACTACTTCAACACCGCCTCCCTTACCAGCACGACGGGACTCTATGAACATAAACATAAACACGCCAGTGACTGCACAGGCGGATATCACTATCGCACCGAGTGCGTCGGATGCGTTGAGGATGATTGCAAGGCAGGATGATACGAAGAGGAAGGATATTGAGTCTTCACCGGAGTTACGGGCAAGGGGGAGTAGTGTGTCTTCGAAAACGAGCATAAACACGGACTCGCATCCAATCACGCAAGTGAACAAGAACGCAAATCACAAGACGAAAAGGACCTCACTTGGTGCACGGAGAATTACGTCTGCTATTATCATTTCTGACGAGCCGGAGTCGATGCACGGAGGCGGCAGCGATCCTCAACATCAGCTTCAGGGTAATAATGATGATCTTACTCGTGGTGAGGCATCTCATACAACAGACGGAGAAGAACAACAACGGCAATCTGAAACTGAAGCACAACGTCAATCACAATCTGACGCGCTTGTTAACCCTGTATCTGCGAGTACAACAACAACTGAGGTTTCACCGCCCTTGAAGCCGAAACCACCTCCCTTACCACCGAGACGAGGTTCTTCTACACTCATGTCTTGACCCCTCGCACTTCAAATCTCGAGTCTTCCTTTTTCAATCCCTCTTTCTTGATTTCTACGTCCGTTTGTGTCTGCGCCTGACTTGCTTTGCCTCTGCCTCGCATTTCATCCAAACCCATCATTCATCATCCCATCAACGCTTTTATACTTTTCCAGTTGTAACATTTACATTTACACTACAACCACACACCTCTCACCACGCATTTGTCTCTGCTCTTCAACAGAATCATATGTACGATGTCATCGGATCTCGAGTTTGTTTTAGATATATACAATAACACGCATATTTACCTCATAGAGTTACAGGACCAGTAGACTTGTAGGGTCCAAAGGGGTTCGTAGGTAGGACTCAAATTCACAGGGTTTACTAGTACTGTACCCATCTGTATGGGTACAACCAGGTAGAGTGCGTTACCTGTGGAAATTGGAAACCTAACTATGTGGACGCGTTACAGTTGCTAATACAGACAACCAGACGGACGTTGCCGGAAGTTACTATACTACATTAGTATTAGTATATAAATTCAATCGTAACAATCCAATAAGCTTTTCAAATTTTCTAACACTTGTAGTATACAAAAGTAACAAAACTACACTTGAATTGTCTTATATAATATAATGCTCGCTTAAAACTATGTAACGCTCCTTAAGGGAAAGCAACTACTGCTATGCGTTACGCGTTACTGCTAGCAACCAAACCACCCCTGCGTTACACGTTACGGTTGTACCCATACAGATGGGTACAGTATTACATATACAAGAGTAGAAAGGTACAGATTACCAGTACACACACAAGTTGGACGCACACAGAACGTTTAAAGTAACATGAAATGATTCATTCATTGGATAAGAGTTAGACATTGGTTCATTTCATTCCGCTTGATCAACTGAGTTCATAACAGAGGCGTTAATTCTACATGCGATTCGTTGAAAACCAAAAAGCAAAGTGAAAGGGGACAAAAAATGCAGGTGAGTAGGTGAGCAGGTAAGCAAGTGATATGCAGACAGGTAGGTGGGATGCAAAAAGATATCATGGCGTGAGATGCTCGATGAAAACAAAAATAGCAAACAGAGTGAGAACATTACAAAGGGGGTAAGGAAAGCAGTCCAGCATAGAAATAGAAGGAAAATCAACAAGAATAAGTCATCATCAGATACTGCAGATCATGGATCGCGTTTTTTTCTTGCAAACATATTTTGATGGTACGAAACAGTTGTAGCGGCGTCTCGGGTAGCTGCTGCTGCTCGTTTCCGCATCGCAGCACGCCGTCGTGCGCTTACAGGACGCGAAAATATACCCCGACGTTCTTGTTCGTCCAAACCAAGCGCAACGGCACACCAATGGCCCTGTCTATACGTCCAACCACGTACGGTAATGTGCATCGGCGCCAAGGGGAAGGAAGGAGCCAACATAGGTGGATGAGAAGCGTTTAGTGCGGAATGTGTCGGCACAGTTAAACGAGCGCCGAAGGACGTGTCTTGTACGGGTACGCGACAGGACATATCTGGACGACGTATGGGAGGGGCAGGTGTAATGACTATGCGAGGAATGGGAGGCATACGCTGTGGCGCCGGGGACACCGGTACGTCCCTGACGCCACGGCATCGAGGCTGACTTGGATCTTCAACACACGTTTCTTTTACAGGCTCGGCTCCGCGTACGGGAACGCATGTTGACGAGGAAGCGCTCTCTGACTCGGATGGAGGAAACGGTATCACGTATATGTCCTCGTTTTCATCCTCGTCCTCCTATGCGAGTAATATGTTAGCTGTACTAATCCAAGTAAGTAGGGAAGGAATGCAATGCGGTGCATACCCAGGAGTCAGCTGAGAGCGCGGGATCTGCCTTGTAAAGCGTCGTGACGAGCTTCTCCACGTCGTCGTGTAGCGCGGACCCAACGTATTGCCGGAGAGGGTTGAACACCCTCTTACATGCGCCTGTCATAGTCTCCAACGCGTTTTCTGGTACGAAAAGGGATAACTGGGATAATGCGTCAACCTCAGGCGGCTATACGAAATGCGCAGCACAACAACATATGAGTCACAGTGAATCTTACAGTTCGTAGAAGAAACCTCCCACTTACCAGCAAGCTGTCTCCCGAACATTCAGCTTCCTCGTCGCCATACCCGTGGCTCGGGCTCGGGCCATTCCAGGATAGGTCAACAGCTAGCTGTGAATACGTCCTCGAGAGTCTGGCGAGCATGTCCCCGCCGCAGGCGCGACAATGCCAGTATAGCGACAAGGAGGAATCAGGGTGGGCAGCAGGAAGGGGCAAGAGGAAGAGTTGTCTCCCATGAACTTTAGCACCGTAGTGTACTCGGACGCCGGTTATTCCTCTAAGCGGCGTCCCTGCACGTGAGTCAACCCAAGTCTATTCATTTCTCCATCCAGTCAAGCCAATCAGATCAACTGTACATCATGGTTCTTATGGCACATAGGCTTTAGACCCGAGTCCTCCGCTCACTTGCAATTTCTCCGGAGAAACATTGTTGCCGTAAAGCCTTTCTCATGTCCGCATAATTACATTATTGGATACTAGCACAACGTGTATGAATACAAGGCAAAGAAAGACAAGCCATAAATTAAATTAACTGGTATCAATTGTCCCTCTCTTGTCTATCGACTCATTCCCCAAGCACGTCGAGAAGACGGCTCCGAGCTTCCTTCAGCGCGTCGCTGCGATCAAACGCCGCAGACTCTAAGCATTTTTTCAATGCAAGGCGATCCGACGTGTCCTGCGGAGGTAAACCCTTCGCACTGCTGTCACTCTCAAAATCTTCTTCAGGTCCATCGTCTTGTGTAAGCTCCATCTTCTGGGCAGAGAAAATACGTCGATACAGTACAATAGCTTCCAACAACGTCCGCAGCTCGTCCTGCACGAATGAGATATTCCTCCATGCATCAGATTCTTCGCCTTTGATACTTGCATCAGGGGTTGCGTCAGACTCTGGCAGTTCCGAGTTGCAGACTTTGTCGAAGAACTCCACGAGCGCTCTCGTACAAGGCTCTAATGAACGACCGACAGCAAGAAGACAGTCCCTGTGAAATTCCTCGTTATCGTTTTCGGTCGACAAAGTGCTGTCCTCTCGCTCGTCAGAAATAATCTGCAACAGTACACGCTCCGCCTTGGTACGAATATGTTCCTGCACCGCTTGCCTAGCGAGGGCTGCCATAAGGCTCGCATATTCACGATGCTTACTCTCCTCGCCATTGCACCCTCTCATGTCGTTCACCGAGATGACACGACCTGCTGCGTTTCGGTCCAACCTCGATATCCTCTCCGCCGCCTCGTCGACGGTCATACTTTCGAGAACAAACTTCTCGAAGGGCTTGTAGATGTACGAGAAGGATGAGCTTCGGCCCTGTGCGCGAGCGCGAGCAGTTTCCCATAAATGTAACGCTCTGGAACGCCACAAGGGTAGCATCACGAGTGCAAAAGAGGCGACTTCAGTCGCAGAAGATGAACAACCATGTCTGAATAGGAACAGGCCTAGAAACAATTGCAGGCGATCCGTTAAAGTAGAATCCACTATATAGCCATCAGTTTCCGAGAAAATATCCTAGAAGCATTTAGGTTAACTTACCGTTCATAACCGTAAGCTCTACAATGCGGATATATAGCCTCCTTTCTAGCCTCCAGTATTCATGTTTTTCTGGGAACTTGACCAAGCGCAAGGCCGTCAGTAGCAACCCCATTAACCCTCGCTTTAGACCAAGAGCCTTGCGAAAGTACCGTGCTTCCGTTTCAGGTCGAACTAGTCCACCCTTGCACTCCATTCTGAGCTTCCTCGCGCCTTCACGAAACTTTAGCGCAACATCTTGGTATTCCCTACTTGGAGGTTCTGAACTAGTCTCTGATGGCACTGCTAGCGAAGTTGCAACATCACTCAGCTCACATAATGCGGAATACGAGCGTCTTGAAAGTAGCCGGACAATACGAAGTAGCCGATGACGCATAACAGAAAATACCAGGAACACCGAGAAAGCCAAGTGAACCAATTGCAAGACGTCGCGCCAATTCAAAGTAACGGTAGCCATGAACGATTCGTCGCTCCTTGTGACGTTTCCTTCTAACAGTGGCATGCCCATAACGGTTCCTAGATGCGAATGTGCGAAAGGAGAATTTCTGTGCACGCCGGACGAGGTAGAAGGAAAGGGTAGATGCGAGTTGAAGAAAGAAAGGAAGGCGAAAACAGCAAGGAAATATTGTCCAGACTGAGTCTCTCGTTCCGACGCTGGGATGTCCTGCTTGGCTTCAGGCTTTGACTCTTCCACCTCTCCTGCCTTTCTCGCCGTAGAAACAACAGCCACGGACTGCTTCTGAGCAGTCGATGTCTCCTGTACCGAGCTGCTTGATGAGGGGATTGGAGGTAACGGATTCTTACGCGGTCGGCCTCGCTTCCTCTTTTCTGGGCGTGCGGGAACAGCAACGCTCGGAGCCTGAGCTGAAGCAGCCATCGGTTGCGAAGGAGCTATAGGCACGTACGCTGCGCGCTCTGTTGCCTTTGCTGGGCTACGGGATGAAGCCTCAGTCTTTCCGCCGACCCTCTTTCCCTTGGTCGAAGTAGAAGACGAAGAATTGGTTTTTATTCGCTTCCTACTCTCGCGACCTGACATGCCCGACTCTTCCTCCGCATTATCGGTGTCTCCGTCGTTCTCATCTTCCTTGCCGCTCTTGCTCGCCTGCTTCTCATCCGCTTCCAGTTCGTCCTTCTCCGGACCGCCGAACTTTTCCCGCCACATTGCCTCCCAACGCTGCAGAACTTCCTCTCCATTTGAGAAGCTCCGTACGAGAGTCTTGACTCCTTCCAGTTCACGCGTCAAGCGTAATTCACGGCGTTTAAGTACGCGAACATATTCGATTGTCTTTAAGATGGCTGTCGTCTTGCTACCATTTCGTGCAACCTTTACGCCGTCGATGAACCCGCGTTCGTCAACGACATCGACATCTTCGGGACGCGTGTCCACGCCCGCATCCGCATCTCCACCAATGCGTCGTGTTCCTGGCTTTAAGGAAAGATTGCTGATACGGTTTCCAGGTTTCAGTTCCAGTACTCGCAACGCTGGGACAACGCTACGTAGGTTCTTAAGATTCTCCCTCATGTTAGTTCGGTATCGGCGCTCAACGGCACAATGGGTAAGTTTTGGGCGCGGATTTGCGGAAGTTGACGACGAAGGCGACGCCGCTGCTTGCCCTGCGGAAGACGAAACAGACGGTTGGCGACTTCCAGTGTCGGATTTCGCAGGATGTAGACGTGGAATCGGCAGCTTATTGAAATGTGCTGTAAAATCAATGACACCGATTAGGATAGTCGGGTAGAAGGGGTTAAATTTAATACTCACTTTGCTCAGATGTATCTACCGTAAGACCAACGATCTCCCTTGCTCTCGTAGAGAGTTTCTTTATTTCGGAATTGGTGGCACTATGCACTGCCGTCTGAGGAGAGGTGGCGTGTTGTAGATGTAAATGTCCAGGTCCTGGTTCTGGTGACGTCATCATGTATTCCATTCCAGGCGAAGGTGTCAAGAGGGAGGCGGAGGATGAAGATGAGCCATCCATATTCGTCGGATGCATCATGTTCTGCACACAGTCCTTCGCTTCAGATGAGGACAGAGGCATTGGATCCGCAGGCGCTACAGAACTAGGTGGTATTTGTCTGACCGCGCAGAGCGCGTCGTAGGAGAAGAGTGACGGATCAAGACTAAGTAGCTCGTTCATGAAAGATATTGCGTTTATATCGACTTCGTTGAAAGAAATTGCAGCACTGGTATCTGGCTGTGAAGGCAAGGATGCAGACATGTGCACATCGTTGCCTACGCCATCAACAGGCCAGTCCCATTCATTAGTAGACAAAGGTTGAGCCAATGGAACTGATGCCGGCTGAGTCTGATTGTGTGAGGTGTTTGAGAGGGTGGAGAGCAAGTCATTGAAGTCGCCCGAGAAGATATTGAATGCGTCTGTCTGATCGAGCATATGCTCGTCTCCCGACGCGCTTGAAGCGTTGTTCATAGTTCTTGTCGTTGTGACATTAACAGGCTACACGGTGGATGTTAACAACAAACGCGTCCTTTCGGCACCGCGTTGAGTCATAATGTGAGATCGGCGCATGTCAGTAATTGCTTATGATTATATTACGTACGCTGCTTCAAAACAATGACAAACAAATCTCAAAGAATGTAGAATAACAGTGTTACACAAACAGAACTTGAAGGTGTGAAATTATTAGCTGCCAGTACCAGCCAAAATGAACGTCGGTGCGCAGGTCTCAAGCCTTCTCCGTCCAATTATCGCCACCCGTAGCAATCATGAACAGAATCCAGCCAAATGCCTTTGCTTTCCTTGGACATTTCCAGAATCCTGGTATCCCTTTACCATGTTCCAATCCAGAAACCTCCGCACCTGCCTTCCCGCACTCACTCTGCGACGGTCAGGCCAGCCATCGCCTTGGACACGTCCTTCAACATTCCCTGGTCGCTTCCACCAGAGTTGCTGCCGCTGAGTGTCCTTGGACCCAGACCGGGATGCCGTACTCCAAGTGCCGCGCCCAGCATTCGTTTTCCAGGGTCCCCAATGCGAGGTGGCGCCGCGCCCGGGTTCTGCTCACCTGCAGCGAGTATAGCGGGATCATTCATGATTGCATCCTCGGCAAAAGGAGAGGAAGAGGATATCATCGAGCTCAAAGTCGGATGTGATGGCACAGAGGGCAGAGTCGGCGAGGGTTCGCGCCCGCTCAGCACTCCGTTGCCATTCGTGTTGATAGATACGTTCGGGTGCTCCGGAATAGTGCCATTTGCCAGTTTCATGGGTCCACCGTTCCTAACACTAGTGCTCGCCATACGTCCGTGGCCGTTCGATACAGATACCGAACCGCGTGAGTTGTGGCTCCGCGAGGCGTTGCTCGCGTGCCGAGCATTCACATTCTGGATGATAACTTGAGCGTCGGGACCGTCATAGGGCCTAATGGACGCCACAGAGGAGCCCTCAAAGATGGCGGACGGTGGCATGCAAAGTGCACGAAGATAGGCGCGCTTGGCTACAACACGACACAGGATAGTCCAACCAACTCAGCCAAACATACATAGAGGTGTAAGAAAGAGAACATACCGACTCCAGCATCATTAAAAACAATCATGAGGCTGGTATCGTCAATCCACTTGATCCTGAATCCACCCGATGCACTCTCCCAGTCCGAAAACGCTGCCTGGATGTCCTTCGTCTTCAGCTCCTTTGAGAAGCCTGTCAGACTGAGAATGCGCGTCACAGATGCAGAAAGAGGGGCAAGCTGGGAGGCCATTGTTACGATAGAATAAGTCGAAAAGTAAGCTTAAGGTGTGAGATGGTGAAGCGAGGGGACTTTGGGGGGCTCAGAGATCGAGTTTTGCTGGACAATGAGAAGTAAAGTATCGTAGTCGTTATCGGGAAAAAGGGTCGACCTTAGTTAAAAAGTCGATATGCTGAAAGCGAGTGGGCGGCGGGCAATGGTTGTACAGGAGCAAGCGCAGTGCTATGGGGGGATGAACGAAACTGAGAGAGATGCTTGTCCTTGTCTAAATTTGCGTTTTAAACGTAGTTATGTAAGCAGATCGAATCAGTCAACATGTCTACACTCCGTCTACGATTCTTTACGTCTAATAAATACTAATGGAACGTGTACCGGTCTATGCCGCACAGCCCTTGTTATCAGCGCTTGATCTCTCAGAAAAACATCGACTCACGTCAGTGTTAAGCCAGCCTTACATCTCAAAATGCGCTCTTTCTTCATCTCAAAGCTTTCCCCAGTAAATCGCGGATCCTCTTTGATCGCGATCCTGTACCTCGACACAAGTATAGAGAGTGTGGCAATACCCTCGGTTTCAAAGAATCTTTCACAACCATCATCAGCGCCCGCAACTCTGCCAACGGCAAACCGGACCTACCGACGACCGATGCAGGCTCGAGGACCCCCGGAGAACGGCAAGAATGCCTCCTTTGGCCAGTCGCCTAGAAAACGTGAAGGTCTAAATTCGTGAGGATCGTCCCAATAGCGGGCTATTCCAGCATGGGCACAAAGGTTAATTTGCCGGACCCTTTCACCAAAACCTATCATTCAAACGCACGATTGTAATGCAACCCCGGAACATGAATGTGCACTCGTGCATTCTTCGGTACTCGAACGGTCTTCTGCTTTCTAATTTCAGAACCGTGCTGTTCGCCGTTAGCAATAGCGGAGCTAAAAGACAGTGTTGTTTCCTCCAAGGGCACCTTCGGGATGATATTAACCTTCGTCGAGTACAGCAGTGAGACCTTCTTTCAATGATTTGCCGAGGCAAAGGCACACACCGGAGGAAATAGTCGGAGAGTTTCATAGAATACGCTGAGGAACGAGTCAAATGACTGAAATTGCATCGGTGAACTCATGGAATCCTCACGCCATCGATCTTGTCAGTAAATGCATGTCCTCGTAGACCTCCGATATGCATCGTCATTGACACATAGTCTAAATGCAAAAGGCAATGACATCTACTTACCGGTTCTTGACCTTCCGGAATGATCGTCCTGATTTGTTGATATAGTTGTTCCTGCTCATTTTGGTAGAGAGCAAGTAGAGCAAACGTGAATGCAAGCGTGTGGGCTGTAGTCTTTTATTTTGGGATCTTCAGTTCGCCGTTGAAACGCCAAGACACAGAATGGCGGACCTCATGACCAGCAAGAAGGAATATGAATGTATCTCCTGTGTACAGCTGCTAGTCAGTGATCGAGCAGAGGCTTTCATGATAGACAAGTTACCCATCAGCTCTTCGGCAGACAAACTTTTACTCTCTTCCTCGGCCTCACTCGCACGGATGAGGTTGCTGAAAAGGTCCGAGTGAGATGCGTCATCGAGGGGCGTGCGCTTTCTGTCTTCAATTATTTCTTCCATGTAAAGCTACGTATCAGGTGAACATTGGTCAGTGAAATGCCTATCAAACAGCTTTTAGAAATTACCACCTGAAGATCATTAAACGCTGTATGGATATTATGGTAACGCTGAGTCAAGCCTGATGCCCATCTGGGGATGATGATTTTGAGAAACAGATCCTTGCAGACTACACTCAGTGCAGTCCTGAACGACATCTTATGCCCCTCGGGTACGGCTAAGTCTTCGTTCCACGCCACCCTCTTACCGAAGCCAGCAGAACCAATGACCATGAGGGCAATCTAGATAGAAGATATCAGTAATAAGTACTTTAAAACTACTTGATTTTCCTACGGGAAGAGTAAAGTTTACAACTTGTTCGATTTCGATACTATCCTTGTCGGCTCCCCACGATATAATCATTTCTTTGACAATGCGGGAAGTCTCATCCCAAACAAGTTTGTTATTTTTCTAAGTATATTGTATTAATCAGCAATTCGCATATCTGATCAACGAACTGACTTCTGAAAATGCTGGCTGTGCAATCTTTCTATGCCTCTTCCAATCCTCTCCTTCAGAAGCAACAATATTGCCTCCGAAAAAGGAGAGTAGCTTATACATGCCAACAGGCTTTGCAAACCGATCTCTTGACAAAGTGAGTTCCTTGAGCCATAGCGCATGAATATCATTCGCTAGAAAGGATCATCCAATAGTTGTACACACTTTAACGGCGTCCGGGTCTGCTACCCAAATAGACGCCCTTGGTCTGGGCCAGAACGTAATATTCGAAATGACGTCCCAGCCATGCTGTTCGTACACCGAATGTTTCGCGTGAAAATTTGAGTTTCGAGGAGGGGTTAAAACACGAGGATGTGCTCTGAAACTCAGAAAGCCTAGAGAGTAAGCAAAATAACGCTGCCCAGGCAAATCGCTGTTTGACAGTAAAGATTCAAGGTGCAGATTGATGTTGTTGAGACTGCTCACTTATATTGTGATAGAAGTCGCTTATAAGCTAACCATTGCTGAGCAGCCCAGACAGATATGAGTGCAAAGACGAGAGAATATATTGACCAGGTCGAGGGCCAATCCATTTGTGAGTAATCGACGGACTCAGAGCATTCCTCAAAGAGGCGTCTGTAAGTTCAAGAAATGGAAAAGGTTATTGAGATCTGCGGTGGTTGCGAACCTGAGAAATGTTTTAGATGAAGGGAAGAATGGAAGAGCCGTTTCTGTGCTTACAACGTTCTGATGGAAGCGTAAGCTTGCGCTAAATTTAGCTTTGCCGTTTATGAAGACACAAGCGACTGCTGTTCTTCGGAACCGCCGATGCCAACGGCTTTTCTTTCGAGATTCGGGATTTTGCTCAGCGTCTGCCTCATCCACTTGCATTTTTTTAATGGTGGAACAAGAATCGCAGTGGGGCTGGAAAGCTATCTGCGATGTAGCTCATCGTGGAACTGGAATGCCTCCGATCTACACTAGTAACTGCCACCATTAACAGATCAAACACTGTTCATCACAAATTTACGGAAGAGATCCTCTTGCGATGATGCTCCAGTGCTTCTTACGGATAGGATCGATACACTTTTCCCGTGGGCGCTGCGTGTTTTGCCCGGTTAAATCCCATAAACGAGCTGAGGGTACCAGCCGCATTCTCGTCGTGTCCCCCTTCCAGCCAAGACCATACGAGCGCTGCAATGTCCGTTTCTCAGGCAGAGCTGGACGGGGTAAAGCTGATTATAGAAGACAGCACGACCAATGGATATGCCCAGCTATCCTCCTTGGCAATCGTCTTGTCTGCATCCTTGACTACTGCAAAGACAAGGAAGTTAAACTAACAAACCCCCTAGATTCGACTATTTGTTGACATTTGATGATGAAGTGGCCCTTGTCTGGAAACAGTCCTCTTGGGGAGTAGGCTCTATTCTTTTCGTGAGTTGCCAAGGCTCCCCAGTCCTTCATCTGCTGACTCACTGCGTATTTCTCCTTAGTTTGCTGTAAGCCAAGGTCTTTGAAGAGAATACACGAGAATCACTACTTACGCCTTCCGTCAGAATCGTTACACTGGGCTATTCTCTTTGGCTTTCAACTCAGCTAGTAAGTTATCCTTACAATGACTTATTTGGAATTGTGATTTATTATATTTCAGTTTATTTGAACAATACTTTATCAGACACAGTATGCCACTGCTCGTTGTATTTTCCGTGCACGAAATGATAAACATTGTTCTATTTCTAGTTGTTTGTGGATGTCGTGTTGCGATCGTCAGCAAAGAAATTGACCATGATCTTAACAGTTGCTTTCACTGGGTCCGCTATCAAATTGGAAGTAGTATAATGGCATTCTGGCTGGTCGATATGATCCTTGCACTACGGTACGTACCAGTCTCTTGCATCTGTGGCATATTCCTGAATTCTGCCCCATAGAGTGTGGGCTTTGTGGGGACGTTCACAATATGTTACTATATTTATCTGTTCCATGTTCACAGGTAACCCATACTTATTTCCCTGCTTGTACTATGTTAATCTTCTGTCTAATAGTATCAATAGCTTTCGTGTAAGTTGAACGGGTTCATAATTGGAATCTGAAGCATTCCTTACATCTGGGTAAATAGTGCAATTGTTGCAGGCTTGATGTTCCAGCATATCACGGGTAAGTATTGCAATTCGCTCACTGGGAGATACCTCTGACCCTAGCATGTCTAGTTATGCATAGACCGGGGTAAGGCTCATTAACATTTGCAACGAGGACCTCGTACTCAGATTATTCACCCATACCTGCAGATCCTTTGCTTTTGGATGCTATCCCGTAGGTTTTCCAGTTTGGACATTCCTCCTTGCCATCCCAGAAGTCCTGAACGTACGTCGCAAGTTTGCTATTCCATTCCCTTGAGCTTATTCATCCTTCTGGGTGTATCGCTCTTCAGAGTGGTGTCCTCCTCGGTATGACACTCTATCGTACGATCCGTACAGTGCGTATGGGGAGGAGGAATGCGCCACTGTTTATGCTTTTTATCAAGGATGGCGTATTGTATTACGTTTGGTATGCTGTTGTTCCGTCTGTTATCGAGACTTCGAAACAATACTGATACGGTTTGAATCTGTCCCATAGTATATTGATCATTCTATTAATGAACGCATTTGCTTTCTCAAGTTTCACAATTACTGCCGCAGCCTCTGGGTTAGTTCGTTTCACTCTTAACGGGATGCAATGGCTGACTGACACCCTCTTCATTTTAGACTTGCTATAGCGTAAGACACAGTCACTTGAAGCATTCCGAGATCCAAGATTAACATATCTTCAGGATACCAAACGTCTTCGGTTCCCGCATTCTTCTCAACCTGAGACGCCAGCTTCTCAAACAAACGACAAACCCAAGCGTACCTTCAATGCAGACAATGCAATTTGGTGTAGATGGGGCTGCCGCTGAGAGGACAACACGCAGTGTCACCGTCACTGGACACACCTTCGATAATGGCGAGATAGAAATGCAATTTACTTCCGTCGATTCATCGTATGGAACACAGTCAACGCCGGTGTACGGCGAAACTGATAAGACTGAGAGGTCGAAACCAGTAGATCTAGTCGTTGATATTGAGGAAGGACGATGATACGATCTTTCGTAGTATTTTACTCTTATTTCTCTTTTCGAGCATCTTTTTTCCTGGTCTGTAATATTCCGATTAAATTATTGTACATATTTCGCCCTTTGCCAATAGATAGGAAACAATCATGCTTGCTGTTCTAGAGGAACGGCTTCCTGATCGAGTTGTTCATAGCCGTCCTTTTTCCTTCCTTCGAATAACGAAGATAGCCAGCTTCTTCTCGATGGCGCACGCTCCGTCTCACCATTTCGCAGTATCCGATACTTCCTCCCTCTCCAGTCGACTTCGTTCCCAGCCATGCCAAGAACCCAAATCGGGGCCGCCAAGAGCTCGCGCACAGCCCAAGCGAGGAGGAAACCCCAGCGTTTCTCGACAGGAAGGTAATGTCCCGCAAGGCTGTCATACACATCAAGGTCCAATGCGATCCACGCGCAATAATGCAATAAGAGAACAACCACACGTGGGACTTTCCAAAGATGATGTGCAGCCCATGTAGCGAGTAAACTGAGGACGATACATTCTGTGAAGGGTTCGACGAGCGTTGCGGCTGTTACCATGCGTTTGCGTACACGGATCCAACGAACACGTCGCGAGATGTATGATTGTAGTGGCATGCGACCGACGGAGTTGCGGGCTACGTCGCAGCCTAGCGCGTGACGTAGACCGAGTTCGTGCCAGAGTGCGGAGCCGATCATGTTGTCCTCTGCAAGAAAACGTCCGAACGCTGCTAACCCTTTGGCTTTCCCATCGTCCTGAGGAGTTGATTCTGCAGTTGTCTCTGGAGAAGGCTGAGGCTTAAGTTCCGCAGTAAGACGCTCAACATCTGAACGTCTGTACATGCACGACTTCCCAATCACACACGAATCAACAGCGACGCGATTAATCGCAAGGTACATCTTCGCGTGATTAGTGTTAAGGAAAGCCTCCTCTACGCGAGAGCCGAGCAAGTGTTCAGATGCAAATGCGAATGGTACGTGATGCACGAGGCCGATACGTCGTTTACCAGATTTCGGAGGTTGCACGAGTGCATCGACTGAACGCGCAAGTGTTCCTGGTGCGACTTGGATATTTGAGTCGAGCACCCATAGGATGTCGTGCTTTGCTTCTTTGTAGGGTCGCATGAGGTTGTTCACCTTCGGATTCACACCGACGACCTCCTCACCTTTATTCATTCAACATTAGTCCTTATTTCATGTCATAATTAAGATATTATACGTACCAATGATAACGCGAGCATCAACATCAGGATACTTCTCAAGCAAACTACGCACAACGCTAAGTGCTTGATCATCTGCGTCTGCAACGCTCAGCAGGACTTCAAACCGCGAGCGCGGGTATTCTTGCGTGAACGTGCTCTCAAGGTTTTCGAATAAGTTCGTCTCAAGACCTTTTAATGGCCTTAAAATTGACACGCCTGGCACGTTCGCGGCGGGTGCAGAAGATAACGGTGAGCGAGGACGAAGACGGAAATGCTTCCGCCTTTGTGCAATGCATCGAAGTCAGATTCAAACATGGCGGCCGTTGCGTGAGGAGAGTCTTACCCTGTTATACAGCCAATAATACTCAATACCCATAGAAATAAGTACCAGATCACAGCTATAACGGCTAGGAAACCAAGAAAAGAGATTCTGGCAGGTGCGGATTCTATGTCGTCCATGGCTGAGAGCGCGTAAGTCGTAAGTTGATGGATGCTGTCTAATCCGCGTCCTTCCGACGCGTCCAGGTTTACGAAACGCGAATCACGCGTTCGAGACACTTATCAATTTATGATATCCAAGCTCAATGCTTGATCATATATTTCAATTTTCATATCCTCTGCGCATAGGTGCTTAATATACAATTTTTGTAGCTCATATACCCCATAACAGACCAAGAATCAATCCCGGACAAAGACAGCTGCTGCTCCCATCCCAGTCCCGATGCACATGGACGTTACCAAAATCTAAAACAATAGTTAGACGCGATGGGGGTATAAAAAAAACCAAGACGCGAACCTTTCCGTTACGACGCGCGAGTGCGTTTAGACCTGTTGCAACCTGCCGAGCACCTGTACAGCGTAAACACGCGATAGAAAGGTAAGCTTTGGAACATTAACAACTGCAAAGTAGAAAAGTACGCATCTAATGGATGACCCAGAGCAATTGCACCACCATTCACATTAACCTTCTCAATGTCCAGGTTGAGCTTTCGCACGCAATAGACGTACATCGACGCAAACGCTTCATTTATCTCAAATAGGTCGACGTCATCAATAGTGATACCAGCTTTCTTCAGAGCCTCTGGAATTGCGAACGTCGGACCAATGCCCATAATACGAGGAGCGAGACCAGCAACTGCTGTGGTCACATGCTTTGCAATTATCTTCAGACCAAGCTGCTCTGCCTTTCGTCGGGTCATTAGAAGAACCGCAGCCGCGCCATCGGTAATTTGGCTGGCATTTCCACCGGTTGTCTTTCCATCACCCCATTGAGGGAAGGCACTGCGCAGTTTCAGAAGTGTTTCCTTCGTAGTACCGTAGCGGATCCCGTCATCGTGGTCAACGGTTATTTGTTCCGTTTTACCAGTGTCGGGGTCGTGCTTTGGAACAGTGAGAGGAACAATCTCACTCGCAAAGATACCAGCTGTAATTTGGTATGAGTCAAGAATGAAGGTCTCGATTTTTTGAATGTAACGCACCCTTCTGGGCTGATTCTGCTCGCTGGAAGGAGAGTGCTGCCAGAGCATCCATGTCCTCCCGAGAGATGTTAAAGTCTTTCGCAACGTTCTCAGACGTCCAGCCCATAGGTCCAACACAATCCTTTGCAACTGGATGTGTCATAATTTCCTCACTCAAAGGTGGTGAGCCCTGGTCTGGGCTATAAACGTCTTAATATTAGCAAGCTTCAGTATTCTCCCAATTTTTTCGTACCCACTTGGCAGACATGCTTTCCGAGCCAATAGCAAGTCCAATTTCAATTTGGCCAGCACGTATCTGGTTTGATATCGTCGTGACGGCCATAAGGCCACTGGAGCAGAAACGATTGATGACCTGTACTGGGGTCGTCTCGGGGATACCAGCTGCAAGTGCAGCTGCCCGTGCCTCGAAAGTCGGACGAGGTGTGAGTACGTTCCCCACACAAATATCTTCAATCAACTTCGGGTCGATACCTGCTCGAGCAATGGCAGCTTTGTAGAGTGCAGTGAGGAGTTCGTCCGAGCGCGTGTCCTTGAACCCGCCCTTGCGTGCCTTGCACATTGGCGAACGGACAGCGAGGGTAATAACCACATCGTCTGGACTCTTGCGTTCCAGAGAAGCTCGGCCTGAGTTACCAGTGAAATGTGAAGCGAAGGACTTTACTCTCTCCATTTTGCTCAGCAGTAGCTAGCGTTGAGATTGTGGGAGGGAGAAGTAGAAATGTCGGATCTTAACGCATTTTAAATACAATGATACTGTCGCGGCGCCCCATGTGGGCCATTTAAGGCCATTTCTCATATTATTGACTACTACAACTGTTTTACAACATAAAAAATATATAATTATATATTACAACATCTTATCTAAAAAACGTTCGTTTTATTTTTGTAAAAAATTGAAAAATAAATATTTCATTGATTTTATAAAATGACAATCCAAAAGTTGTGCTTCGACGCGTCAGACCCACATGTGGGCCACCCGTGGGAAAGAAATTTGCCCACTGTATCTAAGTGCATATTCTCAGTACACAAACTCAGCTTCATTTCAATCTAGACTTAATTGGATAGGAAACAAAGGTAATTCTACTCTATTAGTTATATAAAGTTTATTTACTAATAAAATTTGTGTTTTTATCTACAGGAACAGGCTTATTATAGTAACTTAGGATTATTTACTTATATTCTACTATTTCCCCCCTACTCTCTCCACTCTCACACTATCTCTATGTTTCTAGTATGCTAGTACTCATATACGGTATATTTCTTCCTTTCCTGAGATTTGAGTTGTTGAGTTTGTTTAATAATCTCTCTCTTTATTTAGTTATAAATATTCTACTATTTTACATTAATACTAATCAAGCTCTTTCTCCTTTACTTCAAGCTCACATTCCTTCTCTTTCTATTATCATAACTATACTACTTTTCAATACTTTATTATATCTATCATGAGGGATGGACACATGTTTTTTTTGATAATAACAGTAGTTTTACTACTAATAC